TGCTGCTGCTGGTGCTGGTGCTGGTGCGGGTGCAGGTGCGGGTGCGGGTGCGGGTGTTGTTGGCGCTGCCGCTGCCAATGTTGCTCGTTGTTGCTGGGTGTCGTTGTTTGTTGTTTTGCGTTGTTGTGGGTTGTTGTTGTCGTCGTGGTTGTCGTTATTGTCGTTTCTGTTTTAGTGGTGGTACCCCTGCTGTCCTTTCCTTGTTTCTGTTGTTGCTGCTGCCTCTGAAGCGAACATCATGCGGCTGTCCCGGAAGCTGGCTAGCTTTCACCTCCTGCTTAAGTTCTTGTGTAGGCAGGCTGACTCGTTGACTATAGCCAAGTTGAAAACATCCATATATTGGAAAGGTCAAACATCTCCAAATCCACTGCGGCCTGGGCCCCGGACTCTCAGGCTCATGTCCTTCAGGGCCGCTACTCGTTTTGGCTACGGGTCCGGCGGTCTTCACGCCCAAAACACACTGAAATCCTGACACCCACTACCCAAGAATCTAAAAGCCAAAACATTCCCCTCTGCCCTTCAAGAATCCTTTTCGAAAAACTGACAGAACCCCTAAAAAACCCTTGTAGAACAGCTACAAAATCTCGCAAGAACACTCGCAAAAACCTTGCACACGGCTCCTCGTAGGATTCCACCATACCAGCCTCAACGACGGCCTGCACCGCGAAAGCGGTGTCCCAAGCCATCGAGCCGTTGTAGCCCTGCACCTTCATGCCGTCCTGCTTCGGCGTTCTTGCTTTACACCTTTTCTGGCTATTGGGTCTGTCAGCTGAGTTGGGCCACCCTCTCTTCCAGCTCGCAGGATGGAGCCTACAGGAGTTAGGAATACTTTGGGTTGTTGTCCGTCCTCGGCGACCCACATGTACGCCGGGACCCGGGCCAAATGGGCTTGGAAAGGGCGACTTTCCTGGGCTCATGCATGCAGATGCTTTGATCATGACAGCAGGAATCGTGGCAACCCGGAGACAACAACCACAACTGCCGTAAACACACCGACTATAGCCTTGACGGCTGCAACTGCCGCCTGAAACTGAGAAGGCCACCATAATCGCAGCACTGGAAGCAACCGCCGCCAACCAAGCACGCAAGAGCAACAGATCCAACAGCATCCACAGTATTATCGCCACGACGCCGCCAGGAGCTCCACTATGACGACAAGGACAGCAGCACTAGCAACAACGACCACTAGTACAGCCACCATTACTATCCAAACAACCATGGCGAATAGTCAACAACAGTTGCAGTGCGAATGATACGAAAAAACTGCCTCATTAGACAGACCTTACACTAACGATGACCAGCAGAAGCGCAATCAGCAGGCTCCAAACCCTGCAGATAACCGCCGTTACAAGCACTTCGAAAAGGGGGGGGGAGTAAGACACACACCTGAACGCCATCAGCCTGGTCTGGACGCTAACGCTGGTCGTCATCGGCAGAAACTCATCACCATTCCACCATTCCACCCTTCTCCACCACTAGCACCAGGATCATCACCAACAACATCAGTGTCGTCGTCATCGAGTACACAGGCCTATTATTATTATTATTATTATTATTATTATTAGTATTAGTATTATTATTATTATTGTTACTATTATTATTGTTAAGGCCCAGCTGCGCTGGCTTCTTTGGGCTTCGTCTCGCCTCCGGCGGCGACCCAGGAAACGAGGATGTGGAAGGCCTCGCGGTTTGTTGGGGTTTGTCGCTCCAAAGGCCAGCGCGGGTTATGTACAAACCAAGGACTCATTTTCATCTGACGGCGGCGTACCAGAAAAAACACTCTGATTGTTCCGTCAGTCTCACTGGATATTGTGGCTACTTCGACTGACACAGCGCAAAGGTTTAAATCACCGCAGACGCACTTCCCCACCTTGCTGACCGGGCCAATGGTCAAGTAGTTCGTCTCCAGATCCTTTCCACTGAAGAATCGACAACCGTAAACTGATACACCCTTTGAAATCCGGGCAGTGTAATCTCCTCGGCGTGCATGTACTCCAAGGCAAAGTCACAGCTAACTTTTCTCAGCCACTGCCAGGGCCCCAAGCGCTCGTAGACCAGCAACACGTCCTGAAAGCCCGGCGAAGCAAGGCCCCACGTATGCCACATTTTAGGGGATACATCGCCTACTGCATTACATGCTTCCACGTTACTGTGCTGTACCCATACCTGCCACACTTTGGTGGATAGCCTGAGTTATCTTGCATTTAGTAAAGATATGGAATATTCCATCGCAGTCAGGTCGGTAAGACGCCACTCCTGCATCAGTCTCATGACCCAATGGATCGGGCTGTAGTTGTCAATGTCGGCGCAGCTGTGCACGTGCTTCCTTCAGGGTGCGCCCATGCCTTGGGCTCCCTCTATGACATGCTTTATAACACTGGGAGGTGCAGTGCTGCGAACATGGACTATCATCTCAATGATCATGGAAACTCCTAAACCCCAAAATACCCTAAACCCTAAACTCCTAAGCCCTCAGGAACCCTCAAGCACAGCGCTGGGCCTCCACGGGATCTCGCTGTACTTCTGCCCGCCGTAGAGCTCAGACCTCAGGGCCGCGGCCACGGGATCCTGCGCGGCATCGAAGGTGAAGCGCCGCGCGTAGAGCCAGCACATGGGGAGGTAGACCATCCTGGGAGTTCAGGCTTCAAGGCTCTGTTGGGGCCTTTTCCTTGGAGGGTTCCTTCCTTTTTTTTGCAGACTACACATAAGAGTTTTTGTCGGCCCTTGGGCTTGATTTCCTGTTGTGGGCGCGTCAGAGGGCCGAGCATCCGACAGTGGCACCAGAACCTTCCAGGATGAAGAGGGAACCAGCTGGGCAGCATCCACATCTCTGGCGGGACTGGAGCAATGCCATCCCAGTCATAGACCCCAAGACATGCCAGCCAGAACTTGGCCCAGGATGGCGCGTAGAGGGCACCTCCATGTTGCTGCATAAACTCGCGGCCCTTCTTGCATGCAGGATCATCGGCGCCCACTCCCACCAAGCGCAATGCAACGTAGTTCAGCACAGTTCCAAACATGGTGCTCGGAGATTCGATGTGGGATCCCCAGCCGCCATCCTGTTGCTGATGGTTCAGAAGGTATGCCTGAATGGCTCGGCAATGGGCATCCGGGTACATCGTCTTCAGATGACCAGTGATGTATGCTGCAATGACGAAACCTGGCAGAAGAAAGTGTGGTCCGCCATAGTCGCCTGCCCAATGACCATCATCGCACTGAAGCATTCTGTAAAACTCGAAGCCCTTGCAGAGCGCGGCATTCACATCGGCTGGCCGTGCGGTGTCTGGCTTAGGGCCGGTCCATGCATTCAGCCTGGCACGTCGGAAGATGCAATCTGCGCTGTTCGGGTTAGCTTCAGGTAGAAAAGGCTCCACGTCAGTTTCCGTGGAGCCCACGAACTCCCAAACTTGTTGGCCGGAGACTTCGTGAGGCAACAGTTCGTTCTTCGGTTGTGCTTCCTCCTTGGGTCTCCAGCCACCTTCAACGATTCTGCTCGCGACGGGCTTCAACTTCGCGTCAGCCCGAAGCCTGCTACTTTCCGGAACTGCATCGCCAGGGTAGGAAGCAGGCCTGCCACGCCGCAGGAACCACACCGATGCAAGAACAGCCCCGGCCACAGCCGCAGTTTCAACTGCTCCAGGAAATTTGTCCATGGGCAGTCCCTCAAGCGCTACTGTTAGGAGTGATCGAGAAGCTACAACGATGTCACCAAGCTGCTTATGCGGCGAGGACTAGAAGATGCCTAGATTCTGGATGCCGGCTCGATGTTGTCGTTGAAGCATTGGCTAGATGTCGGTCCGAAACTCATCAGCTATTCGCAGCATTCCCTATTGATCAGCTTCAAGCCGACGCGCCGCCACAAGCAGCGAACAACTGACCAACATGCAAAGTGACGAAGTCCCATGCTGAACTTGCACTGGTGCCGTCCCTCCCCAAATATCTTTAGAACCCTTGCGAGAAATACTCCTTCGACGCACCCTGTGTTGCTGCCACGCCGATCCTAATCAACCTCGCTCCATGCCCTTCGTCACAAGCAAGGCTAGTTTGGGTCGTTTTTCAACACGGCGGTGCCGAGGTTTGCTGAAGTCTTTGTCAGCGGTCACGGCCAGTCTGTACCTGGCTGCGACAATGACATCTTTAGGGCGTACATAGGCATACCGACCCTAGCGTCTGGAAGGATCCCCAGGGCCCTAGCGTGCCCAGCAGATGTGGCAACTGGGCTCCTTTCCTATCAGCAGTGACAACTTGGGGCCTGCAGCGCAGTTTTCACCGCGAGCTTGTCGATGCGAAAGTCCTCCAAGGCGCGGCACGACGGATAATCCGCTTCCGAACTTGAGGCATGTGTCGGGGAGCGCTTGTTTGCATCAAGTCACGGTTGCTTCAGACTTGACGGACGAAGCATACAACTCCAACACAGCGAGCGGCTCCTCGGCATACTCCTCAAGAGAATCCGAAGATACTGATGAACATTCTGTCTCCTGGAGCAGGCAGCAGCGTGCAGATCGGCTGTTGTGCACACCAGGTTCCCGGGCCCCAGCCCATCCTAGCCCACAGCAAGTATCCACTGGGGTAATGGGGGGTTTCAGAAACAAGGACTGGCGTATTTGCACATAAATACAGATATCTTAACTATAGATAAAGATACAGGCATACACACACACACACACACACACACCCAGACACACGCACGTGCGCACACACACGCGCATGCACGCATGCGCACGTTCACATGCATGCATGTGTATAAATAAGGAAATACACAAGTAATTATATACATAAATGAATGGACACATGAAAAGCAGGTGCACAAATAAATGAATAATTAGACCAAGCAGCAAATGAACCAACAACAGATACACAAGCAGGCAAATAAGTAAACACATCAAACTATGTATAATATATATATATATATATATGTATGTATGTATATATGTATATGTATATGTATATATATATGTGTACATACATACATGCATACATACACACATACGCAGCCTCTCTCAAGTAAGAGCCCGACAAAGATGGGAGAACGGCACTCCTGATTTAAGCCCCACGTCTTTTCTGGTCCAAGGTGCCATGATCGGAGGCCATTCCACGGCAGGGGCGTGCGGCTCTGGAGCATGCTTCGAGTGGAATGCGAGCTGATGCCACTGATCCTGATTCATGGCGAGATCCCGACATGGGGACTTCAACACTCAAAGGTCACTCTGGAATGAACACTGCGTAGTAGATGATTCAAGATCCTGCAGGGATCCCCGATCCACAGAATACCCCCTCTTCGCAGGCCCCGGACAAGATGACATGAGATCACTCCTGCTCGCGCTTTTCCTTCTGCTCCATCCGACCTGGTAGACTCTCAAATCTCAACCAGACTCAACAGAGCACGTTTTGCTTTGAGTGTGTATATAATATGTATATGCACGCACATGTAGTCAGTATGTACATACATGCATACTTGCAGACGTGCACAGCTTCATACAGACACGACACAATGACATCCAAACAGTCTGCAGCTTTGGCCCAACGTCTTGGCTGCCGGCCCATTCTCATGGAGAGCGTGGAGACCTCGCGACTTTACCGACCCGCTTTGGCCACCCAGGCACCAGGTTTTGGATTTGCTGCCGGGATGATCTGTTACAGCCTTTTCTATGATTTAGGGTTACCCGACAACGCGAAGCTACCGGCACCCAAGCAGCCGCCGCCCTGCTGCAACGCGTGGGCTCTTGAGCTTCGCTCTTGGCGCAAATGCGGCACGAGTAACAATCTGATCAGCGACACTGACACTATCAACAGCACTGACACTACCACTAACAGTACCAACAACCACTGATACTTCGAGCACAAAAACCAGAACAACCATGACAATAGCGTACTGTTAATAAGAAAACCATAAGCTAAAGTCTGTAGTTTGAGAACCCCACCTATCCTTTCAATCCGCTTTCAGGGACCAGGCGGACTTCTTCTCCATGGTCGCAACGCCGCCGTTGACAGGTCGAGGGCGCCTCGCCTGGATCATGCACAAACAGAAGTTTTGGATTGAAAAAACTGAAAAATCAAAATCCCTTGCAAGTTATGCTTTTTTGGTTTCGATTTTTAAAAACCTGAACAGTCAAGAGCCCTTGCAAGTTATGCTTTTTATTTTTTTTTTGGGGGTGTGTGGGGGGGGGGGTTGTTTTGCGCTGAAGGATTGTATGTCTCTGCGTTTGGTTCTTGATCAAAAAGTATTCTTGTTTATGGTGTCGTTTGCGTACACAAGGGCTTTGGGGGTTGGCGGGGTTGAGGGCTAACATTGCTTCTACGGCATCTGACAATGGTGCACTATGATATGATAACACTGAACTAACAGCTGACGAGCTAACGATAGTTCTCATTTCGCAGTTTGGACTTGGAGGACACGTTTAACACAGATCATAGAGATGCTGGCGAACGTGTTGAGGAAAGGTCGCAATCGTGCAAGTGATCATGACGGACATGATTCTGACGGCAAAAGTCAAGCCTATGGTAACATTGGCCGTGCAGCTGACTGCTTAGCTGCTTGCATCATGATAGTAATAATCATAATAGTAATAATAATAATAGTAATCATAATAGTAAAAATCATAATAATAATGACATGTTTGAGCAAGAGTAAATCAAAAAAAGATACAAGACGCCCTGAAAGTGCCTCTTCCGCTCCTCGCGCTGCTTGTCTCAACTCTCATCTTCTACCAGTAAGAGGACAGGGCGAATTTTTGAATATTTTTTGCCCTGTCAGTGTCCTCTCCTCGTCCCCCACCCCACAGAGCGATATCAACTGTATTGGCCAGTTTTGCGCTGGTTGGCAGCAAAGGTATAAGGTAGGACGTGTGGTCCCACGGCCTGCTTGTCTTGCTTCAGCCGGCGCCTCACAAGAAGAGGAGCCACCACCTTGCACTGAGTGAGCCAAGTTTTTGCACAGTCTGTAACTTCACTGAAAGGGAATTGTTCCTCCAGTGGAGTCTGCAACTTGATAGAAAGTCGGGTGCTAGTCTTCAAACAGCTGCCTGTATCCATTGCTTCAAAGGCGGTCGATGTGCTTCCCTTGCCATGTGGCCCAATAGCATAACGTCTGTCGTGGACAGGTCGGTACTGCCTCAATCCCCCCGGACGAACACAACCGCCTGAAAAGTCGTTCTTCTTAGGTGTTACGGCATGAACCATAACCGCACCGGCAACAACATCAGGAGCCATGATGAGTGCAGAGCAGCCACAACAAGAGACAACGGAAACATACTCGCACCAATGAGAGCAAGGCAGCGGACGGCTTAGAGAGTAGGGACGGCTACATTCACAGCCATGGCGATCATGACTTACGTTGCCCTTACCTGGAACACAACGGGGGGCTAGGATCAAAGCACTGAGGTCGGTAGCAACATGCGAAGAAAGGTTGGCTGCTGCCAAGGAGCCTTGAGCCGAAGTTCTGATCGCGAATTCAGCCAGACATCCAAACCTCTGATCAGGATTGCGGTGCTATCAGTGCTGCCATGCTTGGCACTTTAGATTTGCTGTTGCTGCTGATTAAGATGGGCTTCATGAGGATGATGACCAAGATGACGGCTATGAGATCGGAGCGTGCAGTTCTTGTTGTTGTTGCGGTGATGGTGCTGCTGCTTGTCGCTGTGCTTCTGGCATTTTGCATACCGACGCACTTCGAATTGCTTTGGTGGTCGCGCTGCGTGCAACTCTTCGCCTTTCTGGTACAAGTAGTGTCGTGTTGACAGTTTCAGTAACAGTATCTCTTCCGAATCGCGACGAAGTCTGTGACTGCTGTGCAACAGCGGAGGTCATTGCAAACGGTGCATGGCTTCGACCTCTGCAGTCTGTGCTGGCAGGTCTCCAGGTGGTGGCGTCAGCGCGGTCAGTCCGTGGCCTAGCCAGTGAGCGACACCAGGGCAACACGACCCAGGGTTTTGGGTAACCGAGGTCGCAGTTCAAGAGCTGCGTGCCGAGAAACGCGCACAGCGAACTGTTGCTTTCTTATGCTGACTATCCTTCAGGCTGCAGTGAACACGGATCAACTTCCAAGCGCACGACCTCTCTCCTTCTGATTGATCACCGTTGACTCTTCCAAAAAGGCGGACCTGAGAGGCTCTTCCAAATCAAAGGGGTGCGCAGAATCCACTTTTGGATAAGATCCAGTGGTGCAGCCAGAACTGCAACGGCACTAGATTTTGCCAGGGTGTCTGTCTGGGTGATGCATGCAGCAGTACGACCACCTACCACGCAATCCACCGCTAGCCAAACTGCTCAGCAGACGCGATCTAAGTCCGACGCACCTCTTGCCTGCGGCAAACGAGAAGCAACAGGTATGCTGCGGCAGATCGACGATGCCCCAATTAACATTGGCAGGTGCTGCTGGTTACCACGGCAGCAGGTTTGAGGCATAACGAACGGGTTGCAAGCGTTAAACACAGTAATGTTGTTCGTCGTTCCTGCGGTCGGTCGAGGCACTGTGGCGAATCGCACGTGGAGTAACACGCAGTATTTGAGCCAGCACAGAACTCCTTGCAACTTGTACGACTTATGAGCAGAAGTAGCAGTAGCAGCAGCAATACTAGTAATAGTAGTAGTGGTAGTAGTAGTAGTAGTAGTGGTAGTAGTAGTAGTAGTAGTAGTAGTAGTAGTAGGAGCAGCAGTAGTAGTAGTAGTAGTAGTCGTAGTAGTAGTAGAAGTAGATGTAGAAGTAGAAGTAGAAGTAGAAGTAGTAGTAGTAGTAGTAGTAGTAGTAGTAGTAGCAGTAGTAGTAGTAGTAGTAGTAGTAGTAGTAGTAGTAGTAGTAGTAGTAGTAGTGGCAGTGGCAGTAGTAGTAGTAGTAGTAGCAGCAGCAGGAGTAGTAGTAGTAGTAGTAGTAGTAGTAGTAGTAGTAGTAGTAGTAGTAGGAGCAGCAGTAGCAGTAGCAGCAGTAGCAGTACGTCGTAGTAGTAGCAGTAGCAGTACGTCGTAGTAGGTGTAGAAGAAGAAAGGGGCAGGAACAAGAGGAGCCGGAGGAGTGGGAGCAGCAGCAGCAGCAGCAGCATGGTAGCAGCACTAGTGGTGCGATATAGTGCGAGTGGAAGCAGGGACGGCAAAGGAAGAAGAAAAGGAGCTGAAGTGGTTGCGTAGATGGTGGCAGCAGCGAAGTGGTATGGTGGTCAGAAAATCCACACAATCGAGTTGGCTATTTATCCTATGTACTTCTATGTCCAACATCATTGCGTGGTGAAAAGTAAAGATAAAGAATATTGAATTTTGCTCGCAACCCTGACATCCTCCAGCTCCAGCCTGCGAGCCACGTAGAAATCGCAGGAGGCGAGGATACTATTCCACTCCTGCCGCCTCTTCGGGAGAAGGGTTTCGCGGAACCAAACACCTTTCACCCCTGCGAACCGAGACGAAAAGGATCCGAAAACTCGACAGACCAAGCACTCAAGAACTCAAAATCATTACTGAAGCCCAGGAGCGCTATCTTTTGGACAGGGATTCTATCTCTGGGGATCCTGAGCAGTTTGCATACCCTAAAGCCACCTGCAGCTCAGCTTGAGAACTCGCCAGTACGTGGGGTCATCTCCTGGCGGATACGTTCCTCCCTTTGTACTGTGCATGTTCGCCAGTATTCCATCCTTGTTGCGCTTCTTGGAATTCTGAAAGCGACGTTGATAGTCGGACTTTCTTTGTCTCTACGCTTGAAGGCTCCACTCTGAAGCATAACGCTTCACTCTGCACCGAATACTTCGTTCACCGTCCTGTGTGAAATCTGCGTTCATCGGTCTGTGAGGATTGAAGGGATCGGATTTGTCGTGATGGGAAAGCTAGCTTGGATGTCGCCCGGGACAACATGTGATCTTGCTGGAGAGGCTGTGGTGTCCAACAGTATTTTTTTCGCAAGGTGCAGAAGAAAATGGTGCTTGCGCGTGTGGCAATGGGGCAGGAGGTGGCAGAGCAGGGCGAAGGTTAGTTCCGAAATTCTGAATTGGCAAGAGCAGCATTACCAGTGATCAAGACTAGCACTATTCATCGTGCACATTGCATTTAACCGCTGCATTTGCGGCGGAAATGGGGTAGGGAGAACGCGGTTAACTACGTGATGCTCCGAAAGCAAGATGACTGGTGAATAACACCAGCACAACACGTCGTTTTACACATCGTACGTTTCTGAATGTTTTATCAATTTTATCTCTTGCGTCATGCCCGAACCAAAGCCCCAAGCCCCCAGCACTAACCCCGAAGCATGACTCTGCCACTATCCAATTGTATTGATGCAATCAGCGTCCGAGCTCCTGGTTGGCCAACCAGTGCTTCGCTTGGCCCCCCCAGGTACCTACGAAGGTTCACGATCGCTCAAAACGCAAGTATCTGTGACAGAAGCAGCCGACCACAAAGACGGGCGAATGAGCAAACGCAGAAATCCAAACATCCGCACAAACAGAGATATAGGCACACATATGTATGTATATATGTACAATATACACGCGTGCATATGTTTGCCTAAGTATGTATGTGTTTGTGGGTTGTCTAGGTATATGTGTGTGTGTGTAAGTATTTCTGTACGTGTGCATGTTTGCATGTCTGTATGTATGTACAAGTATGTGCGCATGTGTACGTATATGCCGCGAACATACCTGGTCATGGTCATTAGCTCCCTAGCACTCCGGAAGGTCAGCAACCCCCCGCTCTCGTTCTCCTCTGCACGCACAAGGCTTGCTCCAGCCCGAATAGCACGGTATACACCCTCCCACCCCTCACCGACTTCCCCCTCAGACATTTCAGCCTGACCCCGCCCCCCCTCCTCCCCTCTCCTGTCACTCTTGCACGAATTTTGCATAAAAAACCAAAAGTTTCTTCGCTTCGCGAAGATAGCACAGACTTTCAGTTCCACACACATACACTGACTTTTCGAATCATGGACAAAACAACGGCCAAGGGACAGCCGGAGGCCGGCTTTCTGTTTTAAGAAAACACAAGTAGCTAGGGCAGTCCGACGAAATTCGTGTTTTTCGATTTTGATAGGAATGCTCAACATCCACTTTGTTCATTAGCAAAACCTATGTTTTTGCGTGCGGGAATTCAAGAAGTCCAATCCCTAATGGATCTCGAACAAGTGCCAAATACTGTTATTTTTTGCATCCTCTTTTGTTGCTTTTCGATTATCCGATAAGCAGGGCCCCAAAACTTTCGACATCAGTTTTTTTACTAGCAAGTCCTTTACGTTTTCATACGAATTTGGCGGTTTTGGCTCTTTGCATGGAAAGTCAGCTTTCTGGGCATTGACACCCCTCCCCTTCAGACCCCATTTTGAACCTACAAACCCCTGTTTCCTCCCTTTCCTTCTACTCTTTCATGTTGCATGTTTGTGGGTTCCCGAATTTTGTGGCTCATTGTCGCGGCTTCGGGTTTTAGGGCTTCGGGGTTGCGGGCTTCTGGGTTCAGGGGTTTAGGGTTTCTGGGTTTCTCGGTTTTGTGGCTCCTTCTCCCGGTTTCGGGGGTTAGCATTTCGGGGTTGCGGGCTTCTGGGTTCAGGGGTTTACGTGGCTGGGTTGCAGGCTTGTGGGATTTTGTGGCGCACTCTTGGTGTCGGGGTTTAGCGCTTCAGGGTTGCGGGTTTCTAGGTTCAGGGCTTCTGGGCTGTGGGCTTGTAAGTTTCGGGACTTTGTGGCTCATTGTCGCAGGTTCGGGGTTTGGGGTTTGGGGGGTTGCGGGCTTCTGGGTTCAGGGGTCTAGGGTTTCTGGGTCGCGGGCGTCTGGGTTGCTGGGTTATGCTGGGTTTTGTGGCTCTTTGTCGCGGTTTCGGGGTTGCGGGCTTCTGGGTTCAGGGGTTTAGGGTATCTGGGTCGCGGGCTTCTGGGTTGCTGGGTTTAGATCAAGTAGGTAGATAGATAGATGGATAGATGTATTTTCAACAAAAACACATCACAAAACTATGACGCATATGTTAATAAGCCAATTATTATTCATGTTTGTTCCAACAAAGGCAATTCAGATATTATTTCTATTTACTCTCGGCACTTACGCGCACATTGCTGCACCAGCCTTTTGCACACAGCGACACCTAACCGTAACATGAAAGAGCATCAAGCGGTATAGAAGGAACAATCCTGCAAATATATTTTCAATGCTGAGGTTGGCCCTACATGTGTTTATATGCGGGCCATGACAAACATGTAACACCCAAACTGCAAATCCATTCGATAGAAGATACATTACTTCAAGATATTTCGACATTGCTCGCAAACAAAAATTGTATGGAAGCACAGAGCAGACAAACTACCTTCGTAGGTGCGCTGTAGAAATGAAATACATTACCGTCCAAGCTGCACACGCTTTTTCAGCCCCGGTGCTGTGAATCCAGGTAGAGCTGGCAGGCTTCATGTGGCGACCGGCATTTGCCAGGAACATGGCGGCCGTCGTCCACAGCCCACCAGCCCGGGTCCCCTCGGCCCAACTTCCGAAAAGAGACTCTTGGAGGCAGCCTGTGCCAAACCTCCCGCTGCTGATGTGTCCAGACCTCAAACGGAGCATCGCCTTCGCCTTCGTCCGGCGGCGGCCTCGTTGACCTGGCGAATGAATGACCAGCGGCGACACAGTGGCTGGGGTTTAGGTTCTTTAAGTTGCATGACGGTGTGTAACCTTTAGGAATGAGATACCCGCAAACTTGTAGGAAGTTCGGGCCTAGGACGTCGCAGTCAAGCAAACTCTTCCTATGTTAACCCTCTAACCGCATATATATAAAACGGCTCACTTCCTTAGCTGGCCTCTCGGGTTGAGGATCGGCTTGGCGAGGTCGGTCTGGCTCAGGAGGTGGCTGAAGAGGTTCTTCGGCTTCGGGTTCGGTTGCTGCCCCACGCTCCCTGGCCATGTCTTCGCCAAAGAGTTTGCCGGCCATTTGGACGCCGAAGGCGGCACAGACCTGAGCTTATCAGTTGTTATGCAGTGCCGGTGTGTTCGTTTTGCCTCCTAGAACAGCCTGTAATTTAAATAAACATTGTCTCGAGTTGTCTAGGACCTAGCGGCTTTTTTGTGCTTGCGGACGAACAGCTGGGTTTTGCAGGAACTGATGTTGTGCCTGCCTTTGAGGAGAGTCGCCTCGGAATCAGGAAAAATCAGCTGCATCAGGATTTTTTCAAAAGTGACGGAGACCTGGAAAACAAGTTGTAAATACAGCCACTCCACAACAGTCGCCAGCCACTCCCGGGGGTTGCCATGCCCTTTGCATCGTACTTCAACCCGGTAGCCGCCAAGGTCGCGATCCTCGGCCAGCTCCGGGAGTAGACGTTGAAAAGCCTCCAGCTTTTTTCTGGCTCCCCTGATGGTCGTCGGGGCTTCTTTAAAATCTACGGAGCCGTAGATGTTCAGGGCATCTAGCAACAGCGGGTTTATGATGACCCGTTGGATTTCCCAGCCAGCAAAACTAGGTAAGTGGCCCTAGTTGTTGAGTTCATAAGCCCAACAAATGTACGTTTTCAGTTTTTTAGCGGAGAGCAATATTATAGCGCAAAGTGTATCTTGTGCTCATTAAGCTACTAAGCGGTTTTGCAGCCTCAAGCTGCCAGCTTGTGACAATCCACACATTGGGTAAACGTGGGCATCGCGGGGTTTGGCATTTTTGAGGTCTGCTCACACTCCCTGACTTGTACGTCTGCTGGTTCTGTATTCGAAGCCCCGCGACTCTGCGTGCGTTTGTTGGATGGGTTTGGGCTTCGCTTCCTCCTGATGCGTGAATGGATTTGCTTCAATCTTCCTTTCAACCCTTCCTCCTGCCGGCGTGGGTGGGTTGGGGTTTGGGTTTACCTAAACTTAAACTACAGGTTAAGGTTCGGATTTGGCATTGTGGAGACATCAAGATGTCCAGGCAAGGTCGCGATAGGTCGCGCTACAAAATCGACGACTTTCGTAAGGATTCTGCTCCTTGAATTCCAGACACTCGACGATATAGATAGACCTATGGAAAGGTAGATAGATAGACAGATGAAATTACAGAGCTGCACAAACAGACAGACAAACAGAGACAAAAAGAGACAGACAGACAGGCAGGCAAACAGCCATGCACGCACACGCTGATTGAATACATACGCCGCACGCCCACGCCGCGCGCACACAGACAAACATACAATTGACTCACGCTCATGTTGGCGAGCGGTCTTGCACAACTCAGCACCATCTCGGGGAGCCTCTGGGGGTGGGGGGGCTCTGAGTGTGTGTTCAGCATACATACATAAATACATACATACATACATACATACATCTGTGTATATATACACACACATAGAGTATGTGCATAATTATAGACATACGTATACATATACACATGTATAGTCTGCAAGGTCCTCACATCTCTTGATACTAACCCCGTTGCTGCTCAACGCCGTATAGAGTCAAGATGGACTGGGGACAAGGTCTTGAGCTCGTGATGCCGCGAGCTGAGTGCTCCGGCTACATGCTCGACCGCATCCGACAGCTTCCGCCTGCGGTGATCGAAGCATGTGGTATGCAGTGTACACTGTGCGTAACCTACATCCCTGCACAGGAGCTAAGCACTCCATCTGAGTCCCGGGCTTCTCCAGCGGGAGAAATGATATCTCCTGCACGGGGCCCCGATCTAAGCATCTAACCTGGAACCCGAAAGCCCTTATCCCATATGACACCATGGTCTTGGTGCAGCGTCTCGGCTCGATCCTTCAACAGGTACCGCCCGATCAAAGCCACCGACTCTTGGTGCATCACCAGGACGAAGACAAAAGCATACTGCCGGCCTCGACAGAGTGTCTAGTTCAGACTTTGGGTGGACAGAATTGGTGAGTGCAGGGAACGCCGGGAATCGCATTCGCCGTCAGGACTCACACAGTCTGAATTTCAGTGATCTGCAAGCCGTCCGAAGCTTCTTGATTCACATCCAGAACCCCTGGAGCTTCACAGGGATCTTGACAGGCGCGGCTTGGACTCACAGCACGGACGACCGCGACACGGCCAACAAGGCATCCGTAGTGGTTCTCATCTTGTATATCTCGATACCTGCGTACGTGAATATCTGTCTGCTCTCCATGAAAGCATTTTCTCTGCATCTATCCGTGTCTCTGCCGCTCTGTAATGTCTACCTACCCACCTATTTGACTACCTACCTACATACCGACCGACCTATCTATCTACTGTACCTAGATGGCTACCTACCTATCAATCTAGATATCTATCTGCCTACCTAGCCAGCTATGTACAATTTTTGCAAGTGTTTCGGGTATAGTTCTCATGTGTGTGTGTGTATATATATATATATATATGTAGGTACAGACTCTGAGAAACACGTTAACAAAACATGATGACACAAATGCACACTGCGTTCTCTCATTCCATATATATATATATACATACACACAAATCACACACCGGACAGCGCCTCCACGCTGTGTCACAAGCGTCAATGGTATGCGGCAGGCACCGTATATGGTTGACGTCAGGTCCCAGGCCAGCAATGCCTTTGCAAAAGTCCGGCGGCTTTGCTTCGACTATTTCTGTGTGCGATAGCTAAGGCAGCTAAGGGCCGCTGAGTCATAGAACAACTGCTACGACTTAACGCGCCGGAACTTAGACAGTCAGGGTTTGACGATCGAACTCAGATGCCCGCCGCTTCCACGCTTGCCACACGCACGTTCCACGGGGGGTTCACGGCCACAGCTGCGTCACAGATGTGCATCGCGATGTCCCTGACGACTGCAGCTGTCAAGGAGCTTTGCAGCCGATTCTTCTCGGGGAAGTAGGCTTCCTCGTCGCGGCGCATGGCATCCTCAGGAGTCTCAGTGGAAGGGCCCGCCAGTGTAAGCACGGCTCCGCGTCGCCGGCCTTGGAGGCCGTCACCTTCGAGTGCCTCGAGTGCCTGGGTCGCTTCGAGGGTTGGGGACTCCCGGCCTTCCTTCGCTTCCTTCGTCTTGGTGTCGTCACCTTCCTCACCATTGGCATCCTCGGCCCCATCACCTGCCTCCTCAATTGCATGTTCGAAGTCATCAAAGTTTGCAAACTGCTGGCGTTTTGGCTTGTCACGGATCGTCCAGGGCTCCACGATGCCGGGGAGGGCTGCAATGAATTCCCACGCAGCACGTGTCTTCAAGGCGATGCACCGTTTGAGAAGTGGACCGGCGATGGGCGGCTTCGCATCCATCAGGATCGTCACTCGCCAAGCTTCCTCGCCCTGCCCGTCCAGCCCCTTGTCCATGTGGCAGTGCTCCGCAACGTGGCAAGCGGAGCCTGCAAGCCACACTTGGTGGTCCTACAGGGATGCACAGGATGCACTCAAGGGCCCATCCTAGCTAGTCTTCATGAATCGAACCCCTGCCTCATCATCTGCCTCGCCCAAGGACTCGCCGGCAAAAAAGAAGTCGTTGCCATCGTCCTCTTCCTCCCCATCCTCGTCCTCGCCCTCCTCGCCCTCCTCGCCCTCGGCTTCCGGATGTGCCTCGAGAGTTTCGGGAACGGCGAGCTGGAAACTTCCGCTGCCGTCAAAGGCCATGGAGCCATGGAGCTACCATCGCCCTTTGGGCCACTTTGGGCCCTTGGGGCCGTGATGCCTGCCTCTCTGGGCCTCAACCCGATGGCTTCGAAGGTGCTCGCAGGTGCGGACGACCACGGCGACGTCAGCTGCTGCTGCTACGACACTAACACCACGTTTTTCACAAGTACTACTTATGCTACTTGTACTGTTTATACTTCTTATACTACTTCTGCTGATACTACTTCTACGACTACTACGACTGCTACGACAACTACGGCTACGACGACTAACTACGGCTACGACGACTATGACGACGAATACAACGACCCAGTTGCTGCTATCTGGTATCTTATTGAGAGTCTCAGAATCTGGTGTCATTCCCATTGTTCTTGAAGTCGTGGCCAACGGGACTGTTGATCCTTATGCAGTAGTTGTTAGGTGCTAGTGACTAGATGTGTTTTCCCATGGTGCTAGTCATCGGTCATCACCATCGTCACCACCATCACATTGGCAATGCTTGCTATCATCATCATCATCACCATCACCGTCATCATCATCCTGAGAATAACCATCGTGTCTGCAGCGCCTTGAACGGACAGACTTTTCCCTCGCCCGCGCACAACTCACTATTTACAAAGGGTGCATCCCCTCCACAAGCCTCGCACACATAGACTATTGGGCGTAGGTCTTCTGAGACTCGACGCCGCCAAGGCAAGAAGTTGCAATCGGTGCAATGGGCCCTCACAAAGGGCGCATCTCCGATCCTCTCATCGCATCGGGCTTCGCCTCAGAGACCGAAACAAGGGCTGCTCTTCCCTACGAAAGCCTCTAGAAAATGCGACCGTAGACCCTCCGCTGAAAGAAGCTGAAGCCGCGGCGAGCGATCTTTTCTCCACCGGCCCTCAGTGTTTAGGGGATTTGCGCGCGCGCGCGCGCCTTCGGCAAGATTCTTTTAAGTGTGGTCTTGGGGACCGAAGTCTGGAAAGTTTCAGCTGTTGCAAGTACATGGTCGAGAGGGGGCGTGATAGCTTCCTTAGCAGAAATCCAGGCAGAGGTTGACGGCGGGATATCTGAGTCCGGCAGGTCCATGACTGGGAAGTGGGATGGCCATCTTGAATCGTGGTCTGAGGCAGACTCTGCAAGTAGATTACAACGTAAACTCCGGACTCTAGGCCAACTAAGCCATGGCAGCTGCCTTGTTCGCAGTTTCACGGCAGTCATGCAGAATTGAGCCATCTGCTGCATGTGCCTCTGAATCATCGAACCTAACAGTCCACATCCGAGCCCTTGGCCGCAGCAATGTTCGGAGGCAGTGTGCCGGCAGCTGCCATGGCTGCCATGTCATGGCCGGTCGGGCGAGCTTGTCCACATCTCCTCTTCACAACACTCAACACACATCCGCTGCACCAGGGCTGCTTACCAAGAGAACATCTGACCATCCCAACGGCCTGCAGTTCTCATTTCTGGCGAAGACATGGTCCTCTGCAATGGGTTGCGAAACACATGGTGCTGCACACAGGCCATCTTTGCTCAGTAAGACGCGGGCCTTAATATCTTATTAGGATAGGGTCTTGGGGCCATTATACCAAAAAAGGAATAAGGAACCGCCCAAAATAGGATGGGTAAGTATTAAGGCCCCTATAGTAGGGGCCCAGCGTTGCATCGAGGGCATCTCCAGTCTCCAGGGCGCAGATCTGCACCGGGCGCCCGTGCCTCAGACATGCCAACGTGCCGAGATGGGACAAAGCTTTCCGCGAAGCTCACACAGGAACCCTGAACTCGCGAAAGTCTTTCTAGCCTGTAGGTGGACGCAGAAATCCTGAATCCCAAATGAAAGCCTGAGCAGCCCCCGATGCAGTTGAAAGGAGCCGGGAGCCAGGCAATTAGGGTTTAGAGTTTAGGAGCCGGGAGCCAGGCAGCATAGGGTGCAGCAGGCGCCGTCGCCACCTTAGCCCGCCAGAAGCAACGGACACGATGCTCCGATTATACGCGGCAATGACGGTTAACAGGCAGACTAAGACTAGCTAAGCAAACAACACCAAGACCACCAAGGCAGTACCAGTAGTAGTAGGAGGCGTAGGAGGTAGCATGCGTAGTAGTGATAGTGGTCGTGGTAGTAGTAGTAGTAGTAGTAGTAGTAGTAGTAGTAGTAGTAGTAGTAGTAGTAGTAGTAGTAGTAGTAGTAGTAGTAGTGGTCGAAGAAGAAAATAATACTTCTTGTCTAACACGACGACACTGACACTTGTACATCCGCAGCGACACTCAAAAGGCAAAGCGGAGAAGTGCTTGGCTCAGCGTGGCACGGCCGGCAATAGGCCTGCATCTTCAGGCTTTGCTGCACCGCATCGCCTTCACAAGATGTTTGGGGAAGTGTCACAGGTTCTCATTCGGATCCTGTTGTCTGATGGTTTAAAACGTTTTTTGGATGTATCAGCTGTCCGGTATGTAGCTAAGAACACCAATGATTGGGTCTGAGCACCGTTACTACGTGTCCCCAGAGAAACTTCCAAGGATCGCAGCCATTGCTAGTGCCTTAAGTGCTGGTGCTGGAACAAGCCGAGCAACGAGCAACTCTCTTCATTTCAGAAGCAAGTGAGTGAAAAATGACATCCATAAGGACAACGAGACAACGGCAACAGCACGGAGTCACGGCGCCAGGAACCTGCAGTGGAAATCATGAGTGAGCTACCATTTGCACGGATAGTTCAAGCTTCTCTTCAGCATTCAACAACTATCGGTTCTCGTAGTAGAAGAAGTGACCAAAAAGTTAGATATGGTAAACAGTAGCGGCTAAGCCTGACATTGCCAGACAAAGATGTGGTGTTGCCAGTGCAGAATTCAAGCGACATAGTAACGATACTGCAAGTTTTTGGACCAACGGTAGTAAGCATAACGTAGCATTCATAGTCGCCCTACTTCTTGCCAACAACGGTGCTCCGCCTGCATGTAGTATTGCGTGCAAACTGAAGATCTCCACCTGAAGCTGGAAACACCGCTTCAAACAGTGCCGCGCGATCTACTGAAGCTAAGCGACAACTCTTGCAGTTCCAGTCTCCTTCGCGTGCAACCTGGGCCGGCCCAACCAGGCTGAGCAGGTACAATGTAAGGCGGTTGCTCTTTGAAGAGAGCGCGTTGCTACCACGTTTGGCATGCAAGTAGACTACCTATTTGCATAATGGCGGATCAATTCCGTTCCTTGTTGACGCTTTCCCGCCGGATGAGGCTTCACCGGAACCTTTAAGGCTTCGTCGGATTTCTCCAAGCTCAGGGAGAGGCGGATCCTGTTCCATTGCGACCGGCACCAGGCATGTTTGTCCTGGCAAGTTCCCAGAGACTGAGGAAGATTCCTCAAATCATATTAGGGATCCTACTATAACTTATAAGTATATTCCTTAATTAGGGGATATTGGAGTCTCTAGCTTATGGCAAGTTACTGGAGCCAACTGCAAGGAATGCACAGGCTAGGCTTCAGCCACCGCTGCTAAGACAGGTCGGAAGTACAGCACATCATTTGGACGCGCTGTTCCTGGCCGTGTCGATTTTCGTGGCATGCTCAAGGAATAAGCAGTGTCGGCGGTGAGTGTCACTCAGACAAACCACTTTTTGATCAAACGTCGCAAGCCGGACCACACTTTCGGCAGTTGGCATTCTTGGCGAAGACATGATCGCCACAACTTGGGCAGATCCAGTCGCCAGGCCGCATCTGAAGGCCCTGTCAATTCAGATCAGAAGATATGCTACGGGCACGCAAACCGCAAGCCCACAGCACTCCCGCATGTGCCATCCGTTCTACCTCAGCAATGGCAACCCTGGCAAGGCGAAATGCCCAAGCGCGGCAGGGGTGACATTTTTGCTGAGTCCCAAAGTGGCGGCGGCCGCCGCAGCTGTAGCCTGGCATCAGACTCTTAGAAGATAAGCGACGGATGAGGAAGCCTGGACCAGACATAGCATGTTTGGCAAGAAGGCTTGTGTAGGCGAAGGGCTTATGAATCCTTTAAACTTTAAACATCCCCAGATTGACAACTTTCGCTTTCCCGGCTGATCATCCCTAATCCCTAATATACAACATGAGTACATCAAGACTTGACAAGGTCGCGCATCAAGAATATCAATCTCCTTCCCCCCTACACCTCCGCAACCCAACGAAGCCTATCTGAGACATGCAGGATCCTCCGAAATCCTAGTGAGCATTGCATGTGAGCAGTACGAGCCCAATGCATGCCCGGGAACAGGGATGGGAGCTGCTCAAATCCTCAACGCCCCGCCCTTGAACCTATCAACTCCAAGCCCTGAAGCCCTGAGTCATGACAAAACACAAGGTGCAACTGAAAGTCTCGGCACCCTACTTAGACCCTCTACCCGGAGTCTCAAGATCCCACCAGACGTTCTGCACCCTGGATTCAGATTCTTCCCCCTAGCAAGGTTCCGAGCCCGATCCCAACAACTTGAAACCCCAAAGCCGGGCTATGCAGCCTTTGCCTGATGCTGAGCTGCCCACACTGTTCTGGGTTGCTGCCGAAGGTCCGTACCCAAAACCAGAAACACCTACATTTGATAACTTTCAACGTCAACACTCCAACACCGCCAAAATCCTAAGCCTTGAACCACTTAAGCCTGAATTCCTGAACCATAACACCAAACTGAAATTGCACGAATCTAGACCCTCAGCAATAGCCACACACTATCCCTATCTGTCAGCCTTTGTAAAACCCCGAGTATACAACCTGCAAGCCTGGGCGGCGATCTCGGCTTCGGAGGGCTTGTCGGCCCCACAACGCCGGCATCTTAGGGGTGTTCTTTGGGGCTTCGGGCTTGAAAAGGCGGTTGCAGGGTGGTGTCCATGGTGGCTTTGCACAAGGACTGGAAAACTCCATTCTCAAACCTTACGTAGGCCTTCCTTGAGATTTCCAAGCTCGCAAAATACTCAAAGTCTGTGCTGCCGCCACCAGAGTTTGGATTTCTGTGCAATGGGGAATATATTGAGAACATGTACAAGTGATTACAAGTGTTCATCATAGAGGGAGCGGGAGAGTAAACACAACACCAACAAAAAGATAGGTGGGTAGATAAGTCGACACCATGTTGCAGATAAGCTAAACACAACGATTTCCCCCGTCAACAAGTATGAAGGTACACAGCAGGGTTGAGACTGATTGATGGATGCCTCACAATATGGGCCACCAGACTTGGAGAAACTGCCGGGGTCCATGCTTGCTGTTTCTCGCGAACTGTAGATCTCCACAGCTTTTGCAATTCCAGTCTCCGGGCTTTATCCAAGATGGGCCTGCGCAAGGACCCATCGGCCCAGAGATAGATTCAGGCGCTTAGGACTCTGGGCTTTCTAGGGTTTGGGTTTCAGCTTTTTGGGGCTGCAGTTGCAAGCCGCTGTGGTTTAGGTGTTAGCGTGGAGGTAGTCTAGGAGTTTTGAGGCTCAAGTGCTCCGACTGTAGGCTTTTGAAGGCTCAGAACAGTTACACGAGCGAGTTGCACCGGCACACCCAGCCCTAATTGCCTCACCCAGCGTCCATCATCGACTCTTGCTGCAAGATACTCTTCAGAAGGAGAATATTGCAAGAAGCCGGCTGATCGCGGGACACTTCCTACAGCAGAAACTGACTCGGCCGCAGGAGGAACAGAATGCCCGGCACCCGAAGGCTGAATTTCGAGCACTTAGCTCACGGCGCTAAAGCTTTCAACTCTCTTGAATTGCAATGTGAACAACCAAACGATGTCCTGCTCCAATTCCGCATCGATTCACGGAATTGGCTATGTATTTGCGAGACATATATATATATATATATATATACACATATACGAGTATATATCTACAATCTGTATATACATATATATATATATACATATGTATGTATATATATATATATATATATATATATATTATATATATATATATACATACTTATATACATATATACACAGAATGTTCAGTGCCGCCTTTAGACGCAGGCTGGGACGCGCCGGTGAGGTCTGTGAGGTCTGCTAGTCCGGCGTTCTGTTGCGTCAGGCTCTGCAGCGCTGCATACTGGTACCTGCAACTGCGGAGAGACTCCCATTAGGGGTACCTCTAAAGCCTCTAAAGGGCTTTATACGGGTTTAGTTTCCGAAAATATGGGGTACCTTAATTACCTTATTTTGGGGTCCTTATAGCAAGGATCCTACCTACCTGCACCCGAACGATGTTCACAGTTGACAGGAGCCATTGAGGCAGAGAGGACGGGTTCCTGTCAGTGCGATGTGCAACTATAGCGCAGACCTATTGGCCAAAGGAAATCCTTGGAATCCTGAAACGGTAGATAAAAACCGAGGGCCACACAGTATTGCAGCTTGCTGCTGAGCGTACCTCAGCAAGTCGGAACAACGGCAGCAGCATGTAATCAGTCAATTAGTCATGGATGGACTTGGGACGGTTCAGTTGCGACGAATTCTACTACAACAACAACTGCTGCTGCGGCTACTACTGCTGCTACTACTGCGACTGCTACTGCGGCTACAACAACAACTACTCCTGCTACTCCTCCTCCTCCTCCTCCTCCTCCTCCTCCTCCTCCTGCTCCTACTGCTGCTGCTGCTGCCACTGCTCCTGCTGCTGTTGCTGCTGCTACTGCTACTACTGCTATGGCCTACTACTGGCAAATACCAGCAACCACTGCCGGCACCTGTTTAGGAGCTCTTGGCGACCTTTCGGGACAGCCGAAGTCTGAGAGCAGCACGCGGGGTCCAACAGCGGCACCTGAGCCACTTACTCAACGAACTTCTGCAGATTTCAAAAACCGCCTGGCCAAGGACGATACCGTCCCGCCACAGCCGGCAGCTAGCTGAGGATATCCTGCCATCATTGGGAATCCAGGAACCTCGCGAAACATCGTTCGAGTCTTTCTCAGTGATTGTGCACTTCCTCTTTTGCCTGTCACTGTGCCACTTTCAGAATGTCTATTCTGAGCTGAATAAGGCAAGCGCTCCAGCAGCAAGAGCTGCCAACGCCCCGTTCGGATCACCATCTGCCGCGGGAGCCACTGCTTGAGCAGCTGCCGCTTGAGCTGCTGCCGCTTGGGCTGCTGCTTGAACGGCGGCCTCAGACCGTCAATGCGTCAATGGCACATTTCTGAACATCTAAGATGCTGAAGTTCGAAAGTCAACCAACATCGATCATGTTCGTGCGACCGGCACACAGCCTGTTGAGTCGCTTGTGCAGCAGCAGCCGCGAGAGCTTGATTGAAATCTGGCGCTGCTGCTGCTGCCTCCGGCAGTACTTGCGTCGGCATTGGCGACATGGGCATGAACTCAGCGGGCATGGCGGCCATGGCTGCTGGTACCTACCGACTGCTCGGCACGACAGCCGGCGGCCCACACATGGCGCAAGACTATAGGATCATGTCCCTGCTTGACTCCAAAGAAGCAGAACAGGACACGCAGGTGTCGGCAAGCAACGAGCGGGATCGAAAAAGCAAGGCACTTCGCAGACTTCCGGCGGCACTGGTTTTCGGAGCGGCCCAACACTCGGCTGGTCTTTGGCTTCAGTGAACCCACGGCTCGAACTGAAGACTACGCTGTTTGGGGCCGTTGCTGCAGGCCGGAAGCTCGGCTCAAGCCGGCACTGCTTGTCGAATGGATCTTTGCCATCCACCTCAGCACAGGCTTTTTGAGATGCATGAAGAGTGGCGCAAGGATGCTGCAATCATGACTGGATAGAGCCGGCTACGCATCTACGTCCCGGCAACGAGCAAACGCATGTCGATCCCCTGGTACTGAATTAACTCACCAAGTAGCAAACCATGAACTAAAGCCACCTGCAAACCGCAGCCTAGACGTGGCTCAAACCCAAAGCCATAGGTTCCTGTGCAGTCGCCCAGCGCTTGAAACTTAACAAGCTTACCACAGCAGCATGGTACTGATATACATATCATCATGGTTCTGTCAGGTCTATGAACTCCGTCGAAGCGAACAAACGCAACACAGCGCCGAGGTGCTGCGAACTTCGTCTTTCGGAAGTCCACACAGCACTTTGCTGCCTCACTGCCCTCAGTCTGCCTTGGCTCAGAGGTGCAGATTGATTCGGCCCCGAAACTCTGGTCCTCTCTTGCTGCAGACTTAACGCGGGACTTGCATCGAGGGGGTCCCGAAACTGTCAATGCCGATCAGCGCTTTATCATCTTTCTTCAGAACCCGAATCCTCTAACATGATGTGCTGGCAGTTTTGAAACTCCGTTTGATTTCGGTCAAGTTCTACGAAAGAAGCTAAATGCCCTCAAAACACTCACTCGCCCTGTTCTGCCGGGGCTCTCTTCCAACAGTCTGAGGCACCTTTCGCTTTGCGAGAGAGTCCGGCTTGCTCGAGAGCTTGTTTGCCTCCTGGACGCTTCGTGAACTGAACTTCGGCCCGTACAGATTAAGCTTCCGAAAGAAGTTGACACCCGATCCTCTAGCTATCGCAATACAGCACACCTTGAAGACAGCCATAGGTTGCCATTGGTTCATCTCCCTCTTCCCCCGGCAAGACGAAGACTTTCGAAGCAGCTACCACGTTACCTGAGTTTCGACTACGCCGGGCAGCTCCTCCGGAGGGGCTTTCCAGATAGTCTCTGCCAGCAGCCATCCCTGCATGTGGGGATCCGGGACTGCCCGGAAGATGACGTGGTCCCCGGGCTGCAAGCCCACACGGTCTCGCTCGCTGCGCATGAAGCGGACCATCGTCTCGTCGTCTGACTCTGAATCAGACTCAGACTCCCGCACTCCGACAACTCCCCATTCCTTCTTTTCGGAATATTTCTTAATTACGCCACGGAGGATCCTAAGCGACGCCCCGTCCTGCCTTTCGGACACATTGCTGTGACTAACAGGGTGCTTCACCACCTTGCGACGGCTGAAGCTGGACTTGAGAAGGATGTACATGCAGAAAAAGGTCATGGCCAGAATCCCACAACCTTGGCTGAGATTTCAAGCAGCTATGCCGCTATGCCTTTGCTTTCGCACTACTTAGCACCTTCATAATCTTCTCGCACCCACGTTTGCTGAATTGTCAAGTTGGGTGCTTAGGGCATGTGAGACGAAGTCATCTGGCAGGATCGTCTGGGCTTGATCAGACAGTACCAGCGCGACTGCAAGAAAGGTGGATACCAGCGCAGGAAACCAGCTGCTTTCTTCTGTGCCCGGGTACGGATACGCCGGCATGGCAAGGCAGCTGTGTTCCTAGACTCAGACTGTTTGATTTATTTTGGTCACCATTGTCTACTGCTTGGCTTCCTCATTCCCAAGCTGGATTTCATGCACAGTCGAGGCTTGAGCAAAGGAAATAGATGTGGATGATCGAACAGATGCGGCTCAGAAGCGGATACCAGTCGGTGCATGGCATGCAGCCCCTTCTTTTTCTCCATCTATTCTCTCTCCCAAATCGGTGACGGGTCAGGTGCATGCAAACGCACCTTAACGGAATTTGGCCAAAGGCGAAGATGGGCCGTCGAGGTAGGTGTCTGCTGCTTCCTCCGGCTTGCGTTTGATCTTGGACCACCTGTTGCCATCCTTAGTACACTGGGGTGGTTGTCAAAATTATGGCCCCTTTTGGGGTACCCTAAACAATAGGTGCCGTATTGTATTAAGGACCCAACAAGGGATCCTAATTTTGATAACCACCCACTTGTAATTTATCAAATGAACAAACCATGGCTCCTCAAAAAACCCTTAAACTCTTGCAGCTCCGAGCTTCGGGGAAAATGATGCCGTCACCGTCCCACTTGGCAACAGCATCCTTGGGCCCGCCCTTGGGCGAAAAATCCTGAGATCAGCCGGATTGGAGCCGGAGGCCTCCGTCTAAGTCTAAGCTTCTCCTGACTTCCGACGGCTTTGGTGGGGAAAGGCGGGAGGGTCACGAAATCAAGCTCAGGATCAATTATCAGCTCATCATCGCCACCTGGCAATAGCACTCTTCGAGATGTCTGCAAGCACTCTGATGGAGCAGGGAGTGGTACAGCGTGGCAGCTGCAAAGAGCTGCCTCTTTCTTCTTCACTACGGATGTGACAGGCTTATGCTTCAGTATGTGACTAGTCTGACTAGTATTCCGATTCCACATTCTGACCACTCGCAGGAGCACGGTGGCGAGGGATGGCCACCTAGCGAATGTTACTCCTGGAAGTGCCACAGATAAGATGGACACCTGCATCGTCGATTTTCTGAACGAGCCTTCTGGGAATCGGGAGAACTCGTTCTGTTGTCTCACTCGCCTGCCCTCTCGTCCCCTTTCATCCGCTTATTCACCCTCATGTCCTTAGACCCCTCCGCGCCTTTCGTGGCGACGAGGTACCACTTTTTGGTCTTCATGTCCTTCTCGCATTCTTTGGCTCCATCGACAGCGCTGGTGCCGGAGATGACAAACTCGTCCTTCTTAGCATGGGGGTTAGGGATATTCTTTGGTACTGTACTTGGAGGATATATGTACCTTAATTGGGGTTATAAGTATAGTTACCCTAGTTATAACCCTACTTACTAAGTCCCATGATCCTTTAAGTAACCTCCTTTTTCGAAGGGCTCCCAGGGTCCAGGCTTCAGGATCTATTAGGTTTTGTCCATCTCAGATCCTGAGCCAGAACTCATGCCTATGCTGTCGATGTCCTACTCACTGGGAAATGTTGATGAGAGTCTCAGAAAACATCAAAAAACAGGGGCCCGAAGAGAAACGGCATCTTGGCTCCTCGCAGCAAGCTGATTCCGGGGTCGAAGGACCAAGGGTCGAGGATTCGATATCAACACCCTTGCAGTAAGCTTTCACACAGGAGTGCTGAACCTCCCACTTCAATCGGTTCCAACCGGAACCCGGGAAGTAGTGGCTCTTTGAAAACTGGCACACCGAAGGTAAACTCTCATCAATCCAAGCTGGCCCTGGTGCATCTCAGGGATAACAGTGAAGCATCTTCCACAAGGACCCTATCTTGGGACCGCTATCCAAAGCTTTGGAATCCGAAACAGAGTAGTGTCCTTCTAGCGTGGCACCGAAAAGAGCACCTAAACCCCTCGTTGCTCAGCTTCCCCGTCATTGCTGCTGAGTGGCGCCATCCTTAGTGATGCCACGCTCGCAGCCTGCAGCAAAGACCAGGGCTCCGCACAGCAGGGGTCTAGCAGGGGCAGGGAGCGCAACGACTCTGACCGTTCTTCAGCTCAGGCGGAGTTGCCTGGATGCTTGGGGTCCTTGTAGATGCCGGACCATCTTGTGATGGCTGCTTGCCTCAGGCAGTCAGGGGTGTTGCAAGCATGCAACAATGACTCGCACGCACACACCACCACGACACGACAGGCACAGGCACGTGCGCACTACCTACCACCTACCTACCTACCTACCTCACTCGCCTACCTACCTGCATACGCAAAGCATGTGCATACACAGAATGAACGGAGAGGGTGTGCGCACACAAAACCGACACTGCACAAGCAGTTGTATGCCCCAGGCACAACACCAACATAGTAAACCACGCAGATCGTAGCAGATTTTCGCGCACGTAAGCATGTACGCACTGCTTCCCTGCAGCTCGGAAAGATGCTGGCCGCTGTGCGTCTCTACACATGGCACGCATGCCGGCCCAGCAGGAAGTGCACAGTACACATATGTCACTGCGGTAGTACGGCATGCAATGGTACCGCATGCGACGTACATGTACTTGCTGTGCAATGCAGGGAAGCAGGTAAGCCTGACTGCATCGTCAGCAATGCATACACCAGATGCTTTGTTTCCTTTCCTGAGCAAAAGAGCCCAGTCGGACACAATGCCGGTACAGCCAGTCAAGATCAGGCCCCACCAAAGGCATGCGAAGGCGTGGTGGGCCCGGCATGGCCCGGCAGCGACATGCTGTACTATCAACCGTACTGACGTCCGCAAACACACACACACACACAAACACACAAATAGTAAGTGTGGGCTTGTGCCGGTCTGGACCAATGCAAGCAATGCGGCGTGATGCCAGCTACTGCTGGTTCCTTTCCCTAAAATGTTCTGCGACTCGCAAGTTGGAAGCATGAGGCTCCCGCGCCGGCTGGACGTCGACCACCTGCATGCCTGCTCCGGCTGCGAGTCCAGCGGTCATGCTCTTCAGAAAATCCCTTCGCGGGGAAGAGCTTCCTTGAAAGGCGTGTGCAACCAGTTCTGCTTCAGGATGTGGGTGTCTTGACTCTTGTACAGCAGTGCTGCATACTCGTAAAATGCAGTCTTTCCACCTACACCGATTGCATTTGGCCCTTGGTGCAAGCAGGTGTCCTGCAGGCGTCGCAAAGGTTGTGAACCTGACGGCCACTGAGTCTGAGCTGGATCAGATCTGCCTTGCAGCTCACCCGGATCTAGCAGTGGCCTCGACAGTGTCACCGCCAGCCCGGCCAGCAGAATGAGCATTGCCTGCTGAAGTGACGAGTTGCCCAAAGCAGCAGGTTGCCTTCTTGTAATGTCTACGAGCTGTGAGTAGTTGTTGGAATCATCGCTTAGTCAGACTTTGCCGTAAGCCTGAAGTCTTCGTGTACAACATCACAAAGCCAGCCTTGGCCGAAACCCGCACCCCAAGGTTTCATACTCTCGAGATGCGCCTTCGCATTCTGTCGCCTCGGCATCTCCAGGCGGCAAAGCTCCCTAACGGAAAGGTTCGTACGTGTTCTACTGGAGCCGACGTCTGGCGGAAGGCACCATGAATATAATACTAATAGTATAATACTAATACTGTTATTTATACTAATACTAATAGTAATTAGGGCTTAGGGTTTAGGGTTGCCTCCTGCCATGCTGGCTGGACCAGCTCGAATGCGTTCCGTCTCCAAGCTCTGTTCCCCTTCACTTCTCGAAAAGGACACTGTTTCGTGTTTGAAGGCTTCGTTATCGTTCATAGCACGGAACCTGCAAGTCAGGTCTGCAAGCGTGCTAGCAAGGAACGTGTGAAATGGCTTCGAATCGCGCTTTTTCACTTGCCAAATCTACAGCGTCGGCTGCCGTGCGGCTGCCTCGTTGAACCAAGAACCTGCTGCATACCGCGGCAAGCAAGCCATTGAGGACTGTGGTGTGCATGCCCCCGGGTAGGCCAACACTGGTACACATGCATGGCGTATGGCATTCACCGGCCAAGAAGCCAACGCAAAGACCGGCCAGCAGCCCGGGTCAGCGCTGGGTGAACTCCACCTGGCCACAAGGGTAAGCTGCAGAAGCTGAAGCTGCCCTTGCAAAGGCTTTTCTGCACAAGTCCCTGCCATCTGAGGACTCAGACCGTGCTGGTGGGCTCCGCTTCCTCGTCGCCTGTCACAGAGGAACCATCGGCCGCGAGCAAAGACCTTTCCGGTAACTGTTGCATGGAAATGTATACCATCTTGATGCCCTTATTACAGTACCCGAGACTCTCAAAGTCTTCGCATCCTTTTGGATGTCGGCAGGCCTGGCTCAGTCCTCGTGGTGAGGTCCACCTGCAGAAACCTGGGGTCCCAGGACCAAACCAGCGATGCTACTTACCCTTGGTTAGCAGGGAATGGAAGAATGGTAGTGCATAATGGTAGTTATAGTTACAATTATACCTCAACATGCTAGTAGTTATAGTTGTAATCATACCCCATTCCTCCATTCCCTACTAACCAAAGGTAAGGCTAAGGGCGCAAGGTGGGGACCGGGACCCTCAGACTTCTAACTCCGATCCGGGGCTTGGCGTCCTTAGAGCCTCCAACGATTCGGCCCGGACATCATCTAGTAATCGAGTATAGTATGGGGCCTGGGGGCTTAAGAATCAGTCAGAGTGGAGTTTCGGGACATATTTTGGTGTTATGTACAAGGACTACAAGGGGAGACTGTCGGTAGCGATGCTCCAGGATCGGTGTCCATCAAAACACAAATTAGGCTTTTGTTAGCAAGCCCTCACTTGGAAGTTTCTGAATATCGGGACTGGGGTCGCGGGGGCCCCAATAAATGTCGAACCCGAATCCTTGTTAGAAGGGACCCTTGACAAGCCACCCTCCCCTCCTCAAACTTTCTCGCCGAGCATCTTCTCCAGCACCTGGTCCTGTGCCAGAGTCTGGACTTGTGCTGCCAAGCTCTCGAGGTAGCTTCTGAGCCCCTCCATGCGCCGGTCAGCGAAACCGTCGCGGTCCTTGATAGGCGTATTTGGCATCTGGGGGAGCTGAGAACAGGAGGACTCCACGAGTGCGATGGACAAACCTTGAACACAATGAGCACGGTCTAGAGCTCAAGTTCGATCCCCATACGACTCGGCCTGGGCACAGCGAACCTCGTCTTGACATGATTCGATTCGATACTTTCCGGGTTTGGCTGCTGCTGCCGGATGCTCGTACCGAGTATAACCGACCTAGAAAGCCTTTGCCCGGACATCGTGACTAGACCCCAAAGCAGGGGACTGCAACCCTATTTCGAGCCTCAACGCCCGGAAGCACTCAGCCAAGCATTCACTGTCTGGTTCATAGTGATTCTATAGGGACTACTACAGGGATCCATTCCCCCATTCCCTACTAAGAACCAGACAAAAAACACGTGTTCTTTATACCATTATTATTATAATAAAAAGGCGCCACCAAAATAGTATAGGCAATTATTAAGGCCCCTATAGTACTTCGAGCCTCAACGCCCCGAAGCTCTCAGCCGAGCCTTCAAACTCACTAAGGCGCCAGCAAAGACTTTCAAGGGGTTCAAGACCTCCTTGCCAGGGAGCTCTGGAACCTCCAAGGACCTGCAGGATGGCTTTACTTAAAGGATCATGGGACTTAGTAACGAGGGTTATAATTAGGGTAACTATACTTATGAGGGAGGGGAGTTTGTCTTTTCCTACAAACAACAAACTCTGGGGGGTGTTGTTTTTCCTACCAAAAACAAACTCTGGGGGTAGGGGTTTGTTTGTCCTACCAAAAAACGAACTCTGGGTGGAGGGGTTGGTTTTCCTACGAAAAACAAACTCCGATGGGAGAAGTTTGTTTGTTTAAGTGACGCTAGGGGGAACTGGGGGGAGGGGATTGTTTGGCCTACAAAAAACAAACTCTGGGGGGAGGGGTTTGTTTTTCCTACTGAAAACAAGCTCTGGGGGGAGGGTTTTGTTTTCAGAAGGACAAACAAACTCCGAGGGGAGTCGAACAAACTCGGAAGATGGAGGTTGTCTTACCTACAAGAAGAGCCGCACGAAATCGTTTCAGGGGGGTTAAAAGCGAAGAATAAAGTAAATACTAACCAAGAATTAATTGAACACGTTGTCTCCAGCACGAAGAATTCAGCCACACGAAATCGCTTTCGGGGGTTAAAAGCTAAGTAAATACTTAATAACCAAAAATTAATTGAACACGTTATCTCCAACACGAAGAATTCAGCCACATGAAATCGCTTCCGGGGGTGAAAAGCTAAGGAAAAGGTAAAGACTCCGAAAGTTTGTTTTTCGGTGTTTAGACTAAACCGTTAGACTAAACCCTAAACCCTACAAGAAGAAGAGCTGCACGAAATCGTTTCAGGGGGGTTCAAAGCAAAGAAAAATTCCTACTTTATAACCAAAACTGTTTGAAAACGTTATCTCCAACACGAATGCAGCTACACGAAATCGCTTTCGGGGGTTAAAAGCGAAGACAAAGATTAAACACTGTATAGCCGAAAATTATACAAAAACGTCTTTTCCAACACAAACGCAGAGGCCACACGAAATCGCTTTAGGGGGCTAGAAGCGAAGAAAGAAGTAAATGAGGCATAACAGAAAAGTATACTAAAGCCTGGATACAGATAGCAGACGAGATAGAAGGTTTCAGATATAGAGCTTAAGGTTTAAGGTGAACTGAAGAAAGAGGCTGGTGTGCAGAACCTTCAAGACTCAATATCTATAGCATATGAGATTTAACTAACTTGCGCCTACCCGGAACTCCGAAAGCTTTTTTGTCTGTGTTTAAACTAAATATAAGCCCCATAAAAGGTTTGTTTTGCATATCTGAACTAACTTGCGCCTACCGGGGCTCCGAAAGTTTGTTTTTCTGTGTTTAAACTAAACCCTAAACCCTAGAAAAAGTTTGTTTTCCATGTCTAAACTAACTTGCGCCTATCGGACTCCGAAAGTTTGTTCTTCTGCGTTTAAACTAAACCCTAAACCCTATAAAAGGTTGTTTTCCATGTCTACACCAACTTTCGCCTACCCGGGACTCCGAAAGATTGTTTTTCTGTGGTTAAACTAAACCCTATCCTGTAAAAGGTTTGTTGTCCATGGTTAACTAACTTGCGCCTACCCGGGACTCCGAACGATTGTATTTCTGTGTTTAAACCAAACCCGAAACCCTATAAACGGTTTGTTTTCCATGTCTAAACTAACTTGCGCCTACCCGGACTCCGAAAGTTTGTTCTTCTGTGTTTAAACTAAACCCTAAACCCTATAAAAGGTTTGTTTTCCATGTCTAAACTAACTTGCGCCTACCCGGACTCCGAAAGTTTGTTTTTCTGTGTTTAAACCAAACCCTAAACCCTATAAAAGGTTTGTTTTCCATGTCTAAACTAACTTGCGCCTACCCGGACTCCGAAAGTTTGTTCTTCTGTGTTTAAACTAAACCCTAAACCCTATAAAAGGTTTGTTTTCCATGTCTAAACTAACTTGCGCCTACCCGAAAGTTTGTTCTTCTGTGTTTAAACTAAACCCTAAACCCTATAAAAGGTTTGTTTTCCATGTCTAAACTAACTTGCGCCTACCCGGACTCCGAAAGTTTGTTCTTCTGTGTTTAAACTAAACCCTAAACCCTATAAAAGGTTTGTTTTCCATGTCTAAAAGAAAGTTTGTTTTCCATGTCTAAACTAACTTGCGCCTACCCGAAAGTTTGTTCTTCTGTGTTTAAACTAAACCCTAAACCCTATAAAAGGTTTGTTTTTCATGTCTAAACTAACTTGCGTCTGCCCTATTTGTAGGGTTTACACTTCAGGACTTCAAATTAAGGGCTTGTTAGGACTTGAGGAGTTTTAGAGGTTCGGGTACGAAGTGACAGGTTTGGGAATGCTTGGAGGATGGACTTAGTTTTCGCTGCTTGGCCAGGCTCAAGGATGTGCTGGGATTTGGATGGCTTGGGGTTGCATGATGCGGAGCTGCGGCGGGGGAGTTTCGTGCAGCGGTGGTATCTTGAATCTTGAACAAGCGCTGCTAGACATGCGACAACAACTGGAGCTATACCGGGACTATGACGGTCTGGTATCACAGATTACTGAAGCACATGTTCCGGTTGATGGCTTTCCTCTTCATTTAATTTGTTGCAGTAGTTTGCCGCGCCACAAGTTCCATCGAAACGCCAAGGTCCCAAAAAGACCACCCTCAGAACCCTTCTTATACAGTTATAGAGCTCTTTTAGGAACCCTGATAGAAGGAAGCTTCCCCAGGAAGACTCAGCCTAAGCCCCAAGTCGCCCTTTCGGTGTGCCTGGACTTCTTTAGGTCGCCGTCCAGCTGGGCAAAGTCGTTGTAGCGGCGCTGCACCGTCCAGGATCTGCCGCTCCTTCGCAGCTTCGGACTAGCGGGCTTTTCACCGGGCGTATGCTGAACAGCATGTATTTTTTTCTTGGAGGGGGGTGTCAGAGATTTAAGGCAAACAAGGCTTATGAGCTCGCGGTCTGGTAGATTTGGGACTATGACGATGTGACGCTCGGTCGTGGCCAGGATTAGGACTTCGGTTGGTGCAATGGCTTCTTGCCCCGAAGCAGCCGGACTCTGGCAAAAGGGAGACGAGGTTATGTAATCCTAAATCTTCTCACGTCCGAAAGCCTATAGAAGCCTACGGACTTCCTATAATCAGGAAATAGGCTGTGGCCGCAGAAAACTTCCAGCAGACCCTGGCCCCCACTGAGGGCTTCAGGTGAAACTTGAACGCTACCCTCAGAACAACCATAGACATATCAATAAACATATAATATACTCATGTTTATATCGACAGACGGTAATGGTCAGAACTTACAGTAGATAGCTTACGATGGTAGCAGTGGTGCGTGGGATTAGGGACGAAGGGGCGGCAGGCGCCAACCTTCTTCACCTGGGTTGGAGTTCAAGTCTGGGGGGCGAGCTCATTCGTCACCTCGATGTCGTACCACATAACACCGTCCACCTGGCGACTGAATGTGTGATGACTGACTGAACACTACAAGTAAACAGTCACATTGCAAAGCTGCTCCAGCCTCGTCATGGCCGGAGATCTGAAGCTTTACCACCATCCCTACAAAGTGCGACGGAAGATCCAGGAAGTATCAAAGGATTTCTGCATGAAAAGGCTTGTGTGCTGAGCCCTGAAATGACAAGGGCTGCATGGGAAACTCAAACTTCGCTCTAAAGATGCCTGTCGCTGGCCCTCTTTGGGGTCCCACTTAGAGCCCGAATGCCTTACCGAGTCGCAAAGCAGAAATCGAGGCTGGGTCTTCAGAATGGGTGAGCGCACCAGGGCTGCAGAATCTCTTTAGAACACTCTTCAAACTCCGCGATGGTGAGGGAGGAGGAGAGCCTGTGGTAAGCTCTCGGAAAGCTCACTGTACAGCTCCAAGCAGGACTGAGTCCTGAAAAGATCTGTGCATACAGCCACTGGCCCTCCATTGAAGTCAACGATGAGGCACCCATGGCGTGTACGCAGAGAGATAAACTAAAGTTCGCGTCTGCGGGACTGGTTCACCAGGCGCAGCTCCGAGAAGACCCTGCAAAGGCCTTCAACGTCTACATGTTCGGCGCGTCGAACGCGCGCCCAGGGGCCTGGCCGGGCGACGCACGTGCGGCACAGGAGCTAGGAAGTTAGTCCGTGTGCCCAAAACGATCTGAAGCTCACTGGCTGTCAGGCGTCCGGCCTCCGCCGCTGGCCACGGGGACGTGGACACTTGCGAAGGCCAGGGATCCTGCCTCAGCGACCCGGGGTATCATGGCAAGGCTTGAAAGCGGGCGAGCAGATTTAGAATGACGAGCTGCACCGGAACAGTGACAATGACACTGACATTGACAGGGATCGCGACTAGGATGGTCGTTTGCAGCTGCACTAGCATCAGCATCATCATCACCACGCTGACCACCACATCAGCACTACCATCATCCTCATTGGGAGCATGCTGAGCAACACCATCATTTTGACCAGCGCTAACATCCCGGGGTTCTCCCTGTCACGAGGAATAGCACAACAGCATCGCGCAGCTTGGGGCCAGCGCTGGGTTTCGGCCAACGAGGGCCAGGAATTCATTGCTTGGGCTGGGGGCCATCCTGCAATCCCAGAGCATCCCAGAGCAGATGGCTGGCTTCACGCTGTTGGAGTTGATGGTGGCTTCCACCTAGATACAAGATCCGATCGGTAAGCGCAGCAATGACACCTGGCCAAAACATCAAACCTGCTCAGGCATTTCAGGCCTTGGGCAGGCTGCGGGGGCCCTGCTGCATCAGCAGCAGCAGCGACAACTTCGGCAACGGACACCGACACCTGCTTCAGGGGGGCTTCTGTTCAGGCTTCAAGGATGTGGGCCTTGCAGACTGACTGTAAAGACTCAGGTGCAGCTTCAGCTTCGTCTCATGGTATGTGGTCTCGTTAAAATTTCAAAATGTCACGTGTGCAAGTTTGCCTAACGGCTCTAGATGGGTCAGATGTTCAGGCCGGAAGCGGCTTGCAACTCTGAGCAGGTGACTCCGGCGTGGTTGTGGCAACAGCTATTGACATGCATGCTTGCATTGCCATGGGAAATGACCTGTGGACACCCGGAAGTCGAGAAGGCCACAGTGACGGTGCTGTCAACAACCCTCTCTCTCTCTCTCTCCGTCTTTCTGTCTGTCTTCTTCACCTTTGGCTTTGGCCACAGAAGCAGCGGAACGCCCCTGCCACTCGCGCGCATGCGTACCCTGGTCTCTCGCTCTCTCGCTCTCCTTCTCTCTCGCTCTCTCTGTCTCTGTCCGTGTCTATCTGTCTGTCTGTCTGTCTCTCTCTCTGTCTTTCTTCCTTCGGGGAGAGGTCCGCGCGACGGACCTGCGCCAAGGCGCCCCCTTCTCTCGTAAGTTCGTGACAGAAGAGGCCTTGGGGCTCTGTGGAGTGTTTTTACTCCAACTGTCGGTACAATTGGGACTCTCTATCTTTCGCTCTCGCTCGCTCTCTCTCTCTCTCTCTGTCTGTCTGTCTCTCTCTCTCTCTCTCTCTCTCGCTTTGCTTCAAAGGGCAGGGGCAGAACCCCGGTCCCGCGCAGCTCGTGCTACCCGGTCCAACATATTGTGGGACGGGCTCGGCCTGCACAGTAAGGCCGATGCCCCTCTGTTTAAAGAGGCCCTTGTCAGTGGCCTGGTGCCTCTCTGCCAAACGAAATACTCTGAGAAAGAAGGGCCCCCGGTCCACTTCGTTCCTGACTCCCTTGGTGCTACGAGCGAGTGCCTCTTCAACACAAAGAAAACTCTCCAGCTCCTGAAAACAAGTTGACTCTGTCTCCCTCCCTTCCTCCCTCGCTCTCGCTCTCGCGCTCTCTCTTCTTCCGCTCATGCCTCGTTCTCTCTCTCTCTCTCTCTCTCTCTCTCTCTCTCTCTCTCTCTCTCTCTCTCTCTCTCTCTCTCTCTCTCTCTCTCTCGGGCATGAGGGGTTGTTAAGACCCCTCGGCCACTAGGGCCCCCCCAAATTTTGTGGGGACTTTGGAGGAGTGTGAAAAGGTTACGTGGTTGTTTATCCCCCTGGTGGATCAGTTTACAGAGGGCAACAGTAAAAGTACGATAACACAATGTATTGCGGCACGTACGATCCCCCAGGTATTTGGACTACACACTTTCAGCAGTTCTGCTTGTTCGGTCCGGGGATGTTGTGAACAACACAACAACACAATACAGTTAAACAGTACTGCAAAATGAAAGCAGATCAGGATGTCATGTCCCCCATTGACCGGTATTCAAGCAAAGGTTTACTACGGCTACTGACAATCCCCACCAACAAAACGAACACGCTAGGGTAGGTAATAGGACGATTTGAAAGCTCATGTGCAACCGGTGGGGTATTTGTCCTGGCTATGTTTTGCCTGCTACCGCGAGAAGATTTTAATTGATCTCCCCGGGTCAGCCGTAGGTTATACAAGTTCAGTGCTTTGTCGTACAAGATGAAACAACAGCTTGCGAGAAAAAGAGTACAACAAATCGACGACTTTGCACTGGTAGATGCTTTTCGCAGGTTACCTTTTGCACTAGGCATTCCCCCTGGTAATGTAACAGCCGTAATACAAAGCCAACGGAACATAAGATCACACTTGCTTGGGGAAGCCTTTTGTGCATACTTGATGCTGTTGACAGCGAGCTACTGTAGTTAACCCAGTTCGCGAAAAAGGGTACGTGAATATAAAAAGTAGAAACAATCAAGTCCCCCGGGTTAACTGAGAGCTAGAACAGAGTGAGCACTTTCAGGTATACATGATGAAGCAACAGCTTGCAGGAGTTTGATAGCCTCTCTCTCTCTCTCTCTCTAATAATTACATACGTACATGCATACATACTCCTCATACATACATACATACATGCATACATACATACATACAGACAGAACGACAGACAGACAGGCAGACAAACATGCATGCAGCCGTGCATGCATACATATACGCAATTATCTATCTGCCACAATCTCTCAATTTAGGTATCTACTTACGTATCAATCTACGTATCTACCTATCTACATATGTCTAGCCTACATATCAACCCAGCCCTTGAGTATCTGTCTTCTATCCGTCCTGTCTGCCTGTCATATCACATCTTTCCATCCATCCATCTAACCACCTGTCCATCTATTCATGTAACCGTCAATCCCATCTATCTATGTGTAGGTGTATGTGCGTGTGTGCATGATTTGTAGGTAAAACACCTGGAGCACAAGAGCAACCTGTTCCTTGCCTCTGCGCCGGCGTTTGCAGTCGGCGCTGCTGGAGTGCTTCGGCCGCTCTGGGGCATTCCCGGTTCAGCCTCAGCCACAGTGTAAGGTTTACGGTCTTTTCAGGGTTTTAGTGGGCTTCGGGCTCCAGAACTTAGGGTTTCAGGATGCAGCGCTGACGATCTTCTGCTTCCCCCAACCCGACTGATTCCCCCCCGCCGCGTCAGCAGAACTTATTGAGGATTGAAGCAACCTGCCTTGCCGGCTCGCTCAAGAATCAGCCAAACAAGTCGCTGTACGAGACCGTGGTAGTGGCAGTGGTAGCGAGGCGGTAGGTCGTCGTCGGGCAGAATAGAAGAAGAAGTCGTAGTAGAAGTAGCAGTAGCAGTAGCAGTAGCAGTAGCAGTAGCAGTAGCAGTAGCAGTAGCAGTAGTAGTAGTAGTAGTAGTAGTAGTAGTAGTAGTAGTAGTAGTAGTAGTAGTAGTAGTAGTAGTAGTAGTAGTAGTAGTATAGTAGTAGTAGGACAACAGCAACAACAACAACTGCAACTGCAACTGCAACTGCAACTGCAACTGCAACTGCAACTGCAACTGCAACTGCAACTGCTGCTGCTGCTACTACTACTACTACTACTACTACTACTACTACTACTACTACTACTACTACTACTACTACTACTTATTACTACTACTACTACTACTACTACTACTACTACTACTACTACTACTACTACTACTACTACTACTACTACTACTACTGCTACTACTACTACTACTACTACTACTACTACTACTACTACATCATGCTGGTGCTACTCGTAGCAGCAGCAGCAGCAAGAGCAGGAAGAGGAGGAGACGCCGGAACGGCAACCATGTCCGTGGTCATCGAGGCAGCAACAGCAAGGTTATATCCTCAGCAATAAAACCCTCTCAATCAAACGATGTACAATCGCACTAGGCGCTGCTACAAGGGTCCACATCGCGAATAAGAACATAACGTTACTCTTCTTACTGCTATTATTGGATGTTCTTATTCTCATCCTTGCCATTTTCGCATAGTTCTTTTATTCTAAGCTAAACTCAAGTAGGGCCATGGCCATAGCAGTCGCGGAAGGCACCGAAGGACTACAGTTCGTACTTCGCGGCAAAGCGGGCTCTCTGACCTGGTTTGGCTTTGCAGCAAGTGCGCTAAATAGACCAACACATTTCGGGTACACAGCAGCCACAGCAAGACGAATGACCGCCGCCACCACCTCACCCCCAGCACCACCACCAACGCTTCTGCACCTGCGATTTCCACTCCTGCACCAGCCGCGCCGCCCCGCCCCACCCCGGCCACACCAGCAGCACGACGACTGAAGAATGACAGTCTTCGGGAGTACTGAGACCTGTGCATTGGAGCCGTCCGACCTGGATGTTGGTGGCGACAGCATCGGGCTTCTTCCTCGCAACGATTTCTTTTGCATACAGGGGGTGAAGGAGAGGCGGATCCTTTGCATCTCCACATGGGGTTCAGCAACTCCCCCGAACAATCCGAACTGCCCGAATCCCGAGTCTAGTGACAAACAAATAAGGGCCCTCGGACTTGTATTCTGGCCCAAGCCCTGAACTATTGTACGACTGAAACACGGAGCAGTTTCAAAGCGGTCCTGTAGCGGTGCTGACCTCGGTAGGTATAGCGCAGTCGCGGGTTTGGGGCCTCAACCTCAATTCAATTATGGTTCCTGACCCTGCAAACCATCAATTCCTCAACCCGAGGCCCCCAGCCTCAACTTTCGAAAGATGCAGCAAAGGAGCTGGGGACGCATTCTCGCTTTTGAAGTCAGGCTGCTGCTCCTATGACAGCGGCCGGCGCTTGGGGAGCTGTAATTCGCATGAACTGCCCCGAAATGCGGAAGTGCTGTCTCAAAGGCAGTCGAATGATTCCTCTGCACCCTTCTTTCCAGCAAAACGACTGTACAGAGTGCCGTGGTGACTGAGTCTGCTTGCAAGTTTTGTGGGCGAGGCAGCTCTCTGACTGCAACGGAACCGCTCATGGCAAGCTTTTGCAATGCCCTATAGGTGGAGGCACACCGGTGTGCCACTTCAATAAACGCTCTCTATTGCCAAGGCTTGCCATGACGCCGCACGCATTGCCAAGCTCGGGCGACCTCTCGTCTTGCCCTTTCGACCTCTGCCGCTCGTATTGCGGAGTCTGTACTCTGCTCCAAAGACGGAGCAGAACCAGACTGCCAGTGGAGGGGCTGCTGGGCATCTAGTCGGAGGTCCGCTTTGCGATCGAAATGCTGGGAACACCCCCACACCTACAGTTGTTCTACGAGTTTTCGTTGCTCGCAGTCCAGGTTTTCCACACCGTTTCGTGCTTGAGAGAAAGATGTTCTCCATACTATGCTGCCTAAACTACAAAACACAGGCTTTCCGCGCCATTATGCGCACTTCAGAAGCAAGCGTTTCCACAACATGTCGTCCTTCAGGACACCGGAAATCCGGGCAGTCTTGCTTTATAAGACACGAAGCAAAGCATTGCCGACACAACCTAGCTATCCGAGACACAACACCTTGGCAGCGAGCCGCATGTTTTTGGCTGTGAAGCGCAGAGGCTGGCTTGGTCTACAAAAAGTCTTGATGGGAGGCTTGCAGTTCGTTCGTTGGCAGCAAGTGTTTTTAGACAGAGATAGTTGTCGAAGTGCTTGCGGAAATGTGTATGCACAAGTTTGCGAAACAGTTTGCAGAAAACACGTGGGCAGATTGTGGAAACTGGTGCATGGGTAAACATGCGGTAGCCATGAAAGAGGCAGTGGACAACTTGCTGCACAAGTGTGGAGAAATATGGGCAAAGTGTGGAAACGCGTGCCGAAAACAACATACACAAAAACATGTGGGCCAACCCCAATAGTCTTTACGAACATCCAAGTCTTGAACCATGGCTTTTTGGACATGGATCCAAAGCTAGACATGTATGGTAACAAGCCCATTCGTTGCCGGACTGGACTAGTGCGGAACTTAGTCGGTTTTTGGACATGAGCCAGAAACCAGAGAAGTGTGCGAACACGGCGCTTTGAGTCCGAGCAACAGCTTCTTCCGACACCTATTCCACATGCCGCTAGTAGAATTTTGCAGAGGGCGGGTATCCTAAAGAACTAGACTAGATGCAGAGCGCTCCCCCGAAGAGTGACTCTTGAGCTGCCGCTTTCGCGGTCGCCCAACCACCTGTTGGATGGAGCAGGTCGAAGCCAGCAACCGGCGCAAAGGGTGCAACTAACATAAGTTTGTTAACGGCGCAGCTACACTCGTGAGTCGCCTTTCACTTGCTCGGAGTGCCTTGCTACATGCACAACATCGTTCCTGTCAGGGCCCTTTCGCACACGTGGCGTTGTCAAAGTTCTGGGTGCACTCGAAAAGACGAGGGTCGATCTGCCTCACATTCTCTGGCAGCTCGGAACGGTAAACTTCATCAGCGAGCGGAGGTCGTGAGGGGCACCCAAAGATTTTCACTCCATCGACGAAGTCTCCCATGCATTCGATGGCAGCATCGGCCAAGCCCCTGGCTTTGTCGACGAGCTTGCTTCCCAAGCTCTTCGTTTTGTCCTCCACGACTTTGGGTTGCGAAGGGCACCCAAAAATTTTCACCCCGTCGACGAAGTCTCCCATCATCTCGATCGTGCGACCCGCCAAGTCCTTGGGTTTGTCGACACCCTTGCTTGAGCAGTTTTTCGTTTGGTTCTCCGTCGCGTCCACGACTTTGGGATTCGAGGGGCACCCAAAGATTGCCACCCCATCAACGAAGTCTCCCATTAACTCGATCGCGCCATCTGCCAAGCCTCTAGCTTTGTCGATGAGCTTACTTGAGAAAGGCTTGACGAGATCCAAGATACCGAAACCCATGGCTGCTGTACACGGGGCTCGAGCCAGGCATCCTGCAAGCGACCAGGTGACCAATCGCTGCGAAGAGTTCACGTCTCATCCTTGTAACACTCCGCGCAGGAAAGGGTTAGCAAGCAGATGCTCCTTCTCCGCGAGAATATCAGAACCCTGGCGAGGATACATATAAACTCAATCACTGACACCAGCATGAAGCATGCCATCAAGGAGGTTGCAGTCGTGGAGGCCTTTTGGCTGGCCGGCACCACGTTTCCAAAGGCAAGCGCCACCTCTTCAGGTCTCTTCTCTGAGAGCCGCCTTGGAAGCAACCAAAAGGAACTCACAACAGCAGAACTAAAATGTGACACGTCTGGGCTGCGCAGTAAGAGATGCACTGCAGGACGTCGACCAAGGACTGGGACGGAAGGGCAGCCAGCGCAGCGAGAATGGCCTTCCCGCTCTCGAATTCACTGCAACCGGACAGCTGGATGCACTCTGCTCCTCATCAAACTGAACTGCTGGAGGCACGGGTGCGGTCTGCCTGCTGCAGAGGTCAGAGTCGCGGGCAAAGTGCACCAGTGCAAATAAGATAAGACAAGCGAACCTATTGCGAATGGCGCTGGAGTCTGTACCGGCGCGTGACCTGCAGCACACTTTGCAAATCTTTCCGAAGAAAAGGCGAGCACTGGGGCAGCACTGCCTTCAGATAGCACTCACATCTAGATTCTTGCTCCTTGTCCACCCCAAGAACTGAAGCCTAGATGCCCTAAAAATCCTAAAACCCAAACCCGAAAAAACAAATCCCTCCAATGCCTGCCCGGTGCAGAGCGATCCTGGCTTTTCGCACTCGCTTCTGTTCGTCGACTCGGTCTTTCTCCAGGGTTTAGGGCCTTAATACAGGGGCCTTAATAATTCTTGGAATACCATAATTATAATAAGGAACCCCCCAAACCCTAGTCTAGTTACTCAGGCCCCCACTTTACGTTTCGTGATTCGAGCCTTTTGGGATTCGGGGCTTTTGGGCTGGATTCGGTCCTAGTCCATGGATCGACACCCTAAACCTCAAACCCTAGTCGGTTGCATTTCCAGGTCCAGCTATGTACGACAAGAGCTCCTGCCAATGACACATACATCATGTGTATGTATATATGTATACATATACACAGACGCAAACATGGCTGCATAACATACAATGTATTTAAACCTTCTACTAGACACACGCACGATCTCGATCTACATATACATATGCAGATGCCCCTATCTACATACATACATGCAGGCAGACAAACAAACATGCACCGAATAGTGATGTAATGACAATGTTGACCTCATTCCTGTATTGACAAATTCCAACCCTGTATGGTTGCAGTATCCGAGCATCCGGAGCGAACACAAACTTAGACAGGACAGACAGAAGCCCCACAAACCAGCGAATCAAAACATCGCATCTGTTGTGCTTCGATTCGACAGCTACGAACCTAAAACAATGTTCAACACGAGCCCCAAGCCCTGAACAAAGCCGCGAACTTTACTTTACGACGCTGGGTCCTTGGGCGTCGGCAGCTTAAGATCTTTCGCAGGTGCCTCTTTTCAAGAATGCTCTGGCATGATTAGAGCTTAATGCTTCGAGTTTAGGGCTTCGGGTTCAGGGTCTCTTGCATCAACCATCCAGGCTTTACCGGAGGGAAGTTGATGTGTTGCCTTCAGGATTGCTTTCTGGCGTTCGAAGCCTTTGCCATCAGAACAAGCCGGCGCTTGATACCTCCCATGTCTACAAAACCACAAACCATGAAGTCTGAAAGGGCCACGGGGCCTCGGATATCGTAGGACTCCTGGCGCTGAGTGTTTCAAGCTGCGTCCAAGTTGCCGCAGCCGGCCAGGCAGGTCCGGGCTGCGGTGATGTGGAGGTCCCGACCTTTGGCAGAAACTCGGGGGAAACCAGAAAAGCCTGAATGGCTTCTATGCCCTGGGACTCCGAGTATCATCATCATCATCATGATTGTTACTACTGCCACTATGAGTCTTGTAATTCCTATTATTGTTATGATAACGATGATGATCAGTATGACGATTATTTTCTATGTGGCTGTTGTTGAAGATGCTGATAACGATTATAGTAGAATTTACGGCCCACATATTGTAGAAGCTCAGGGGACTCGACCTGAGGTCCTGGCGGATGCCCAAATATCAGCCGGCTCAGCCGGCCTGGGAAAGGGTTGCCGCAGTATCTTTGGAATTGGACTTCTCGGGTTTAGGGTTCAGAGTTTCGCTTTGATTCCGTGACACTGAAACTGAAGGCCCATCTCACGACCTATCCGGAACATCAGGGAACTTTGTGGTGGTCTTGACGCACTGCTTGAAAATTGACATGTTTCAGGCAGGCCTCAAAGCTGGGCTGGCCGTCGGTGTCAGCCAGTCTTGTGGAAAGTCGAATGCGCCACCTCCAGCGACTGAACTCGGGCAAAGTATTGCAGAGTTGTTTCAAAAAGCAGCGCAAGAAGCTCTCTTGGCGAAGAAGCCTGCTTCGTCGCGAGGCCGGCGATTTCGCTTCTTCCTTGACAGCCCGGCCGGTCAAGATGCTCTGGTCAAACTTCACTTTGAGGTGCATTTCAGCTGCGGCCCAGCTTCTCTGCTGAGCGCTCTGACGGCTGCCGCGACCAGCCGTCTGAGACCTGCGACAGGCGCTGGAGTGTAGGGCTTCGGATCCTGCGTCCAGTCCGGGACCCCAGTATGATTTGTGAGAATCGATCCAAGTGTGTTTCTTCGAAGGGTCACGGTACCTGGTACCTAGAGATATCCCTATTTGCAATGACTTATAGGTTTGGGTGGCTGTAGCCATATTTACCAATCCTGTAAGCAAGAGCCGACAGAGGACCTCCGCAGGCTTCTCCTTCCGAATCTCGCTATCGAGCATTGCCTTGACCTGGATGCATGCAAGCTTGGCGGATCTCTAAGGAGGAGACCAGGGTTTAGGTTAGGGTGACTGTAGCGACCGGAGGGTGCCCTTTGTTGACCCGTTGAGGTCTTCGTCCGTCAGGCTGTGCAGAAAACCTATCCCTGGGGGAGAATGTTTAAGGCAACTCTTGCACCGAGGCCATGCATTCTTGGCCTATCGCAAAGCAAACCTGGCCAAAACTTGAAGAACCTCCATCTACCCACTTAGATGAAAGAGACAGTCGCTGGCTTTCTAAATGCTTCAGGGCTCAGCGCCGGACTTGTGCTACTTCGTCCCGGCTCCAGGGATCTAAGGCTCTCTCCCCCTGGCGCAGCTCTCAGACGTGGGCAAGTTGGGTTTACCTTGGGATCCGTTTTTTAGATGTTTGGATTTGGGTCTTGAGATCTCTGGTGACGGGGGCTTTTGGTATGCTGCAGAGTTTTCCGGTTTAGCGAACAGACAGGTGCAGGATTTTGGATGCTTTGAGTTTTGGGTGTGGGGATCCGGGGTTTCGGGTTTGGGCTGCAGGCACGGTTGTAGGATTTCGCGCTTTAGGGCTTTGGGGTCTAAGGCTTCACAAGGGTTCAGAGGGATCTTCCGGACTGCCCTTAGTCTTCACATCGCGGTTTGATTCAGGATTTGAACGGAGTTGAACATGGAGGTGTTGAGACTTGGGATACTCATACTGACAAACCTTGTTGTGCCTGCCAGAATGCTAGACGTGGCTCTTGCATAGGACTTCACTGAGCTCAGTGACTCAGCGATGCGGTTGTTGTTGGCGGCCTTCTTGTAAGGGTAAGCCCACTATGGACGCGTTCAGACGCTCTGTAGCTAAATATGGCGCCACGAACCAGCCCTCGTGTCTGGAGACGGTTAGTACGCACGTTGTTACCGGTTCTGAGTGTCAGGCAGATGAATTCTTCCTGTCGTCCGGGATAGACCAAGACTGGCACGGGTAGCGGTCGTTTGTCAGCCGTTTAGAGCTGAGCAAAAACGGGAATTCCATGCCTCGCTGTCGTTGAACAAGTCAGAATGCTCCTGCCGGGTTTGCAAGCAAAACCCTTCGGGCTACGACAGGCTGCGGCTAGTTGGACATGACACGCAAGGCACCTGGTACTGATCGTTGCGGGAAAACATGTTGGTGACTCCATTCGTGACCCGCGACATCTTGGCACATCGGAGAAGACTGGGACAGCTTCACTCGACATCAAGCACCATCATGCCGAAGCACACGTGCCAGTGCTGCTCGGGAAGGCTCGGATCACAGCAATGGGAGGGACAGTGAAAATACTAAGGCGAAGAACACCAAGGATTAAGCCGTAGGAGTCGTATACACACTCATGGTTTCTGGTTCAAGTCATGATCACAAAGGGTAGTCATGTAATAGCGAGGCGAACAACCAGAACCCCAGGCTAAAACTTAATCCCAAACCCAAGGCATAGCAACCGGAGATCCGAAAGCTCTAAGATCCGAGCCGATGTGGCCGCCGATGTGACGGCAGACGTAAACATGCTTGCCTGTGCGGGCGGGTTGTGTGAGATTTATGACCGTAATTGACGTCCAAACCCTACTACTACTACTGCTGCTGCTGCTACTACTACTACTACTACTACTACTACCACTACCACTACTACTACTACTACTACTACTACTACTACTACTACTACTACTACTACTACGACTACTACTTCTACTTACTATACCGAAAAACCCTAAATCCGAATATCCAGCCTGCTTCGCTGAGCGATGCCGCGCCAAGCCTCGGGGGCTCGGACTCTCGGTTCAAGGCTTGCTAAAGGGGTTTAGGGTAAGGTTTAGCGCAGTAGGATTCATGGCCCCGAACTGAGAATTTAGGATAAAAGAGTTTGGGATGTAATGCGGGTATAGACTGATGGCTTATGTACGCACCCTCATGCTTCCCAACCCTGGTTTCCGGCTTTTACCCAGAAATCTGCGAAGAAACATCCTGCAAACCGAGGCGCTCGAGAAGGTGCGTCGTGTTCTCTCGGCCAACGCCAAGTGCTCCCTCCCACTCGCAATGCAGCAGCAAAGCTGGTAAATTCAAAGCTGCGGGGGCCCAAGCATGCAGAAGCCGACTCTGTAGCGTATACATATACCTGCAACACCCCCCCTATGTGAGGATTTGTAGCTCTTCGCTTTGGGGTCTTGTTGGTCTTTCTGGCTTGCAAGATGAAGTGAATCAGTGAATCAGTAATCAATCAAAGAGCTTCACGGCTGCGGACTCAATCTTTTTCCGTCTCGCCGGCAACCATCGAGCTCAGACGCAGATAGGAAGCGCTTCCACATGCTGCGAGCTCTTTTGTAGACCTGGACCAGGACTGAACCGGCAAAAATAGGGCCATCCCATATCATCAACCCCCTTACAATGAATCCCAATAAGGGCTTATATTATGCTTACGTCCTTTTTGGGCGCCCTAAAAAAGGCGCCCAGTGGCAAACCCGGGCCTTGGTGTGGTTGTCGGCTTGGCCAACGGCCTCGGCCTGGCTAAGTCGCTTTGGCGTTCGCTTCTTTGTGGAAGGCGGTTTAATATGTTTAATATAGGGGCCTAAATAAGTACAAGTACTATTTTTTTTTTTTGGTGGGGGGCGGGGCGTTCCTTATTGTAATTGTAGTATGATGGGAACCAAACCCTTATTGTAATTATTGAGGCCCTTGTATTAGGGTTTTGGGGTTTTGGGGTGGGGCTTTCAGAGTTCGGATTCAACGGTGCAGGCGATTGAATTCTGGGTGTTTGGGTTTGCTCCAGGGTTTGGGAAGATTTTCGAGCTGTCTTAGGGCCTTAGGGGGGGGCTCTTGAGCTTGTTGCATCATCTCCTGCAGTAAGGACTCCGGCTCGAGCATCTGGTGAAGGTGTACTTAAAGGATCATGGGAGTTAGTAACTAGGGTTAAAATGAGGGTAACTATACTTATAACCCCAATTAAGGTACTTATAACCTTACTTACTAAGTCCCATGATCCTCCAAGTAGGGAGTGCTGTATTCATGTGATTAGGGGCTTAAAATCCCCTAACTAGGAGCACCGGGACCTAAATCCTAAGGCCCCTACAGCAGCCAAGGATCCAACTTCCAGCGGCATGGACACAATAGCTCGAATATAAGGGCCTCAATAATTAGAATAGGGTTTTGAAGCCCATGATACTATAATAATCATAACAAGGAGCCCCCAAAATAGTATGGGCAATCATTAAGGCCCCAAAGTAAGGACCGGTTCGTCGCCCAAGAGCAAGAGCCTCCCACCAGGTCATTTCCCAGGCTTTGATCCAAAGCTCCTGCAGAATTCACAGGAGCAGGGCAGCCTCTGCTTGTCACCGGAGGGCACGCAGAAACCATGCATGGCTACATAGTAAGAACTGCTTGGCAGATCGGCGCTGCCCCGCCCTAAAGAACGTCTCAACGTCCCAAAACTTGCGAGCGACATGCCAACCCAGAGTATTACGTTATTATATGTGGTTATAGTATGGTTACAATATTATAAGACAGTCCTGCTTTGTGGGGCTTTTCGCCTGGACCTCACTCCTCGGGGTTTTCTCCGATGCGACGGCCACGGTCTCCTCAGGGAGTTCGCCCAGTCTCCACATGCCGGGAAGCACGAAGCCCACACATCACCCTGTAACAAACGAAGTACGGTGTCATGCCCACCAACGATCATGTCTGGCCTGCACCACGGTCGAACTAGCCCCGAACAGGTGCATGCTTCTTTCAACGGCTGGTCAACACTTTCTGCAGGGACTTCTCTGCATGTTCTGGTCGGGAAAGAAACTGTTGGGGCCACGGCCGCAACTGCTAAAATCCGACACTGACGCAACACCAGATCTTAATCAAGCAGCGTAATTACCATACGCCCAGCCAAACCGGGTGCCAGCATGAGGCGCTTTTCAACATTACGGTCCTTCTTTGGCGCTTCCGTTTCTTTGAATGCCCGCTTCCTTCCAGACTGCACCTCTGCTGGCATTGGAGCTCTGGCGACTGCAGGGCTTCTTCTGGCCACCGGTCTGTCCTGCATCGCGGGCAGTGGCTTCAAGCAACAAATGCCCATTCGAGCCAAGTGAACGGCACACATCGAAATATCTCGTCCTGGCTCGTACGCATTTCTGAATTCCCAACTGCTTGAAACTCCCTTGGGCGCAGCACAATTTGCAGCCAGACTGGCAGAACCAAAAGTGTTCCGATGCTGATGTTGCTGTTGAATATGGTCATCATCATCATTATCATCATCATAAATCTCAGCATATCTCAGCAATATTGCCTTCGATGCGTGTCGCTAGAGTCTTGGCTGGGCCACCCTGTTTGTTTGCCTCCTCCAGCTCCGCTGTCGAAATTCTGCCCCTTGTCTAATGATGCTCCCGTCACAGTGCCATGCGTATTTGGTGTGCATCGTCTTCCTGCCAGCCTCGTGAGTTTTCGCCTCCTGCAATCGTGCTGCCACCACAATGCTGCACATGGTGCCGCACGCCGAAGCCGTGCTCCGGTAAGAGTGCCGTCTGTGCTCTGACGCAGTGTGGTGCGCAACATGATCTTGGGAGCCTGGTGGTGCCTCGTGGTAACCGGTCTGCTTCTTGGGCATGTTGCGGGTGGGCTGCTAGGTGCTCTTTCACTGTCTTGTTGGGCCTCTGCTGACATGCTGACAAAGTTTTTGCTTCCGGCCTCTTGCTCCGGCGGCTGGCCGCCGTCGGGTTTCTTCAAAGAGCATTCCTCGTGGCGGCCGTTGCAAGCACATGTGGGCTTCGCACAGTAGCGGATTGAGAAGGCGCTTTGCTGCCCTGGTCTGAGGGCCTGGTTCATTGGGTCTCGGTCCTTGTTCCAGGGCCTTGGCATTAAAGGGTAGTGGAAGGGCGTAGTGCTGAGCTCTTGCGAAAGAGGATACTGTGGTAGGTTTTTTCTGATAATTTACTGCCTGAAGGGCACTTTAGCTTTAGGCCTGTACGGACTGTGCCGTAGCAATCTTGCTCATGCTGAACCTACTATGCAGGGCTACTAGCAGTCCATTAGTTCCTTTCCCAGCGTTACCAGGCAGCTTTGGGATTCCACTGGAGGTCGTCGGAGTCAGAAAAGGGGGGAGTCTTGTCCCACATGTAGTGCCCTCCGAGCACCGCGTCGGTATCTTGCGTCCTTTTGTCCGATGTTGAAAGATCAAACTCTGCGCCCTAACCCTGGAAAAAAACTGAAGCCCCACCCCCAGACTTGCTGCAAGATCAACCAACCGTTCAATATTGCGAGCTGGGCACTTCGCGGTGTTGTTCTGGAGGCGCTGGTCTCTGCGAAGCTTTGTCGCAAACCTGCGGCTCCTTCATTGTCGTGAGAAGCCACGGACGGATGACTTTCTAGTTTTTGGTGTAGGCCGGTCTGTACTCAGCCAGTAATCCTAAACTCATATCCAGTCCTCCGGGAGGGTTTGTACCTCCTGCTTGTTGCTGGACCTCGGAAAAAGGCAGTTCGTGATGTGAGCGTGTAGAATCTTGAAAAGACCGATAGTCTTCTTGGAGGAAAGTGCGAGCAAGCAGCTGACTTTCACCGGCAGCGGTCGCTGCGGCATTCGCATGAAAGGCACCTGGACAGGACAAGTCGCGGCTCTCTGTGATTTACAGCTGGTGGCATGCTCGCTACATTGAAGCACGCTGTCGTGAAGCTCCATCGACAGCTCTATAAACACCTGCAGCTGCTCCCGTGTTGCTTGATGCAGCAGATCCTGCAGATTCGGTGCTTTTGAGAAGAAAACTGTGGTCGAAGAAGTGCTGCACAAACCGGCCCTCGTTTGACCTGATTCGGAAACCTTCGGATGCATGGGGCCCACAAGTGTCTGCAGGCAAGCTGCTGTGAAGTTCGGCAGCCATGGAAGTATCCTTGGAGATCTCCTCCGGGCAGGTGTGCACAAACAGCGACAGTGCAAAAAGCCAGAGCTATGCCATTATGCGGAGACGTGTGTGACAGAAGCGCGTTGTTGCGCAGAAACCTTTGACCCAGTCCTCCATCAGCAGGAGGGCTTCTAGCAACGCAAGCAGGTCGCCTTTCCTGTCAGCCTGTGCCGATCTCGCGTCGTGTTGCTCAGAATGCGTTTATAGGCCCCGAGGCGGGGTCGAGATGCAGATCTTGGGTATCCTATATATGTGTGTATATAAAACCATATATATATATATATATATGTATGTATGTAAAAGCTTAATAAGGACCAGAATCACCAAAACATTTGACAAGTAAGATAGATTTGGCTGCAATGACGCTTCGTGGAACACACCGAAAGGGCTGGCCAGCCTACCACACATTGTCTCCTGGCTTAGGGCCGGAGCATCGATCCTGATTCACGTTATCCGGCTCCAGGAGTACGAGTACAACAATGAAGCTCTCTATCTCTGGTGCTATCTTTTGCAGACTTATCGTCTGTCCATCTGTGTATAGTGTATGTGTATATACACATACATATATACACACATCTATAGATGGAATCTGTGTGTACACTAGTTCTACCCTACCTGTCTATCTGCTTCCCAGGTAATGTCATACGAAAGTATGCATATGGTATCATCTAGCAATAGTTCAGCAAGAAACTCATACCTGAATGTTTGTCGTGGAGCCCGAGCCACCCACCACCAACACTCATGAACAGCAAACGCACGCCGCGAGAAGCTTGCCGATCCATGATGCAAAAACACCAACCACTTACACCCAGCCCCACTTGTCGGCCCTGAACATTAACAGCCTAGCCCCTACTATAGGGGGGCCCGTTGTACTATAAGTATATCTAGGAACCCCAAAATAGTGTTGGTCATTACTTAGGACCCTATATTATAACCAATCCTTACACCCCGAGTCCTGAAAGACTGGGTCGCCTGCAGCGAGGGTTCCTGCAACTTCTTGAGCCTCCCGGCCTCATCTGTCTAGTTCTTAGTAGAGAATGGAGGAATGGATTATGTTTAAGGATTAGGCTTTAGGGTTAGGGGTTTAGGGAATGGGGGAATGGATTATGGAGACTACTGTTGGGGATTATGCAGGGACTACTGTAGGGATTCCCTACGAAGCAGCAGCCAGTCATCGAGCTCGGAAGGCTGTTCATCAGTCTCACTCATGTAAGGGGCCTTGTCGGGGAGTATTTTATTGTATGACTACATAGGGGCCATAAGGGGATAGCTAGCATTCGTTACTCTATGAGATCCTCGCCATAACGATCCTCCTAATGTTTTTAATTGTTGGAAACTCATTCTGCAAATCTTATACTGAGTTGAACTGTTTTGCAAGTTCTTTCAAGCGATACTAGCAAAGTCATCGACCTCGCGAGTGTTGTTGCCACAGTTGATATATCCATGGCCGGCATGTACTTATCAAACGGATGAAATGATTCTTTCACAAGTGGCCTCCGCAAAGTCCTCCCTGGAGACGGCCTGCTTCTTCAAGTGCTGCAACCTTCGGCAAAGGAAAACAATCTTCATCAATTGGACACGGGGCACCGGAGCGGCAGTTGGCCGTAGCATGCCAGTCTTTCTCAATCAACAATCCTCGGCAGCTACCTCAGCAAGCTTGTGAGCAAGGGGCTTCTCGGCAAAGTCCACGGATGTCGGCAGTACGGCCTTGCAGAAGCAAATTAGGAAGCTAGTGCGGGACAATGGCGGGGTCCTTTTTGCGGGATCCTTGTATTCAGGGCCCAGATGCGGGTCGCTGTGTTTTTCAAACTCCCATCTCGATTGTCTACCTTCCGGTTGTCAGGGCTGTTCTCTTGGCACATTCTGAAGGCGCAGGCACCACCTCAGGCTGGTACAGCACCAAATGAGTAAGGTTGCCAAAAGCTACAGCTACACCCTAGCGAGCCCCTGAGACTCTTGCGAAGCACGCTCAGGTGAGCTATCAAGTGAGCCTTGACAAACCCTGAAGCGCCTCCTCCCGAGCCCGTGCGAGTCGCGGGGCGAGCGCCGCCTCTGCCCTCTTGATCCGTCCAGCTTCGGAGAAGTCCTCCGGGCTCTAGGATTTGAGAGGGCTTTGTGTTGGGCCGTGGATACTGTGTCGTACGGCATGCGTGAAATGAGCGCACCAGGACCCAGCAGCGGACCTCCGCACCGACGGCTCGTCTTTTTAGAACTTGAAGACGCGCATTCTCAAGCCTGCACGCTGGCAGACATCAAAAGTTCAGGATCTGTCCGCTCTGATCTGCAGCTGGCGAGCAGAAGCTCACTCCAATTTCGCAGTGTGGACGCTGACCGCGCGCCATTGCTGGACGGATTCATGTCAATGTGCCGGTGGAAGTACCAGGCAGGCAGAACGCAAGGTACAGTAGGCTACGAATCCATGCTTCTCATAAGTGGCTCCGGCTGTTTCATTGGACCACGGTTGCAAACGGAGGCCACGCTGTTCTTTGGCGTGGTGTTTGCTGCGATATGGACTCGCTGCTTACCGTGGCATGCTAGTTAATGGACTGCAGCAGGAGCAGACATCGACGGCAATAGAAGCAAGACTGTCAAAGGCAACAGGACAAACATTCACACATCTGCTGCAAAAGCAAGTACTACAACTGGATGAAGCTCATAGGGTAGCCAGTCGTGCGATCTACACATGACTCTAAATTTTCGAGTTGCCCATCTGAAGTTGATGCACATGCATACAAACACATCAGTTCAAGTCACCATATACCGTAGGGTGGAGTGTCATGGCGGACAGTCAGATGCGGTTCACTCATTTTTCTGAGTCTTGCAGGCTATCTCGAAAGACTTGGCTCGCTGAGCCCATCTCGCGCCAGCGTCTCTTCGAGACATGATCTTGTGGGCGCGCGACGTTCATTTACAGTGAAGCTTTATGCTTCTTTGGCTAGGTATGTGCAGAGACACAAAGAGATCGTATTGCGACTACTTCCAGGGTTGACTTCCATGCTCCCAAACCCATAAGAGCATGAGAACTTACTCCTACGGAACGAAGCCTAGTGCAGCCGGCAGCAAAGTGCGACCGCAGCCTTGACAATTGCCGTTGCGCTCACTGCGCACTTCATTCACAGGCACGCAACGACAGGTGCATTTGCGGCTAATGGTTTTCCGACATGCATTTAAAACTGGACTTCACGATCGACGTGTCCGGCCTTGGATCCGGACACAAGCAAACTTGTCTGCACGGGTCAAGGGAACAGGAACTTGTGAATGTGGAAGGTTTTTTGGCCGGTGATCTCACTCCGCCAGACAACCTGAATCCATTGCTCCATGAGTCCTAGTTCTCTGAGGTGCCCGCCATAGGATGGCCACACGTCATGTGCTCCCCCTACGACTCGATCGGCCTTCAGCTTGGAACGACTGCGAGGCGCGAACATGTCCGTGGTTGCAGTTTCAGAAACTCTGAGACGGAAGCTCGCCATACAGATCCAGGTCCGACTCTTCATCCAGCGGCAGCGGTACAGCGGAATCATTGAAAGCCTTGGGCGGCTGTGGCAAGGGCAAGGTGCAACGTGGCGTTTGCCTAAGATTCTCGCTCGAGGCAAGATGAGAAAACATCGTGCTGAGCATATACATGGCTCACGAAACGGCCTCGTCGTCAAGCCCGATGTCCGCTGTGGACTCTTGCAGGAATCGGGGGCTAAACCTGCGAAGCTCATGCCAAATTCGAGAAAAGCCCTCTCACATTTTGCATGCATGAGATGAGGTGTGGCCCCCGACCGTTTCATCAATGAGTCCACGTCTTTCTTGGCCTGGCGAAGAGCTTTGGATTACTTTAGGCTTCGTCCGAAGGGTGAGCCCCAAGAAAACCATTACAGTGCATTCCTTGAAGGTTGTGTTGCGGGGGCAAGAATTTCTCCTGCTTAAGATTCAGAGCAACCCGCGAGGTTGTGACCCCAATCATGAACTGACAGACTTGGCGGGGCTTCAGTGATCACGCTGATGTTCAGTATCGCTTCGTTCCAGAATCATTCTACGATTAACACTGTCTGCAATGTTCATTGCATGTACTGGCCAAGCAGAGGTAATTCATACTTTGCGGGATGTTTTATCGCATCAGTGCAGGTGTGCACTTACAACATGACCATGTCTTGTTGAAGTTACATGCACATACATGCCTATTTGCATGCACCCTTCCTCTCGCTTTAATACACATGATGTTCAGAGATGTAGATGGATCCTCGCTGGGTAATATTTCTAGGACTGCGTCTGCTGTGGAACCGCACATATTTCAGGGTAGCTCCCAGCTTCTCTTTTCCCAGGCACGGTGCCTTGGGATTGATCGCAACCTGCTTCCGGGCCGTCTGGCCTGTGGGCAGCTGCATGGAGGGTGAGCCCAACAAGGCTCGATATGAAGCATGAGCACACGCAGCGCCCGACATCGCATGCTACCGTATGTTTCCTATGCCCGTTCCGCTCTGGTCTGCTGTAGGCCGTCTTGGCAGAGCTATGGTTGTAGCATCAGTAGTGGGACTGCCGCAGCTACTCAAGACTAACAGTGCGAAAATGCAACTACAATCCCTACACCTGGTGTAAGGTTTGTAAGTTGTTTATGACCTGAGGCTGCAGCCCCAACGCATTCGATTTGGCGAGGAAGGCTGATCCTTCTCTGACGAAGCCAAGCATGGTTGCTGTTGCTGTTGCCGTTGTTGTTTGCTGTTGTTGTTGCTGCTGTTGTTGTTGCTGCTTCTCTCATTGTCCATGTTGTTGCGGATTGTCGCGATTGATCTTGAGGTTGCGGTTGTTCTTCCAGCAAGGGTTCGAGTTGTGGTTGCTGCTACCTTCATCGATGCAGGTGCAGCAGCAGAAGCAGCAGCAGCAGCAGCAGCAGGACTGGCAGCAGTTGTAGCAGGAGTACAGTAGAGGAAGAAGTAGTAGTAGAACAACTAGTATTAGAAGCAGCAGCAGGAGTAGTAGTAGTAGTAGTAGTAGTAGTAGTAGTAGTAGTAGTAGTAGTAGTAGTGGTAGTAGTAGTAGTGGTAGTAGTAGTAGTAGTAGCAGTAGTAGTAGTAGTAGCAGTGGTAGTAGTAGTAGTAGTAGTAGTAGTAGTAGTAGTAGTAGTAGTAGTAGTAGTAGTAGTAGTAGTCCGTAGTAGTAGCAGCAGCAGTAGTAGCAGCAGTAGCAGTAGCAGTAGCAGAAGCAGAAGCCACAGTACAGGAAGCAATAGTAGCAATTGCAGCAGTAGCAGCAAGCAAAGTCTCCAGGAGCACGAGCCGAGGTAAACTTTGAGTAAACTTTGGAGTAGTTGTACGAGTACATGTAATGGACCCAGGAACTGCATCAGTAGCAGTAGCAGCCAGACAATACCACTAGCTTCATTCAGATGACTGCTATTGTCAGTATATTCAGACCATGATAGCTAGCAACATCTGGGCCGAAACTAGAGAACAGCCGAACGCTGCTGGCTTCGGGGTTCGGTGCCCAAGATCACCGAGTGTCCTGATTGGCATCTATCGACTGGCGCTGGATGATCCGGAAGAAGCGGGCACTGAGCTTGCCTTGGACCACCTGGTCAGCAAAGGCTTCCCTTGTTTCTTCGGAACTTCCGACTCCTTGAAAGAGCTTCCGAACTCAACACTCGGACAGCATGCGATCATGGCTGCGAGGATGCACTTTAAGGCTTTGTGACTCTCGGTCACCTGGCTTGCAGCACGCGTCCTTCACCCAAGCTTCAGCACAAAACTGGAAGCAGGATGAGGTTTTGCTTCTCGGAGCATGCCCGTAGGACGCAGAAGCGAAGCCTCTAGAGCCCGAACCTCCGGGGAAACTGAACAGTCCAAAGGCCGATGTGCCTGCATTGTAGCATTCGCCGGATGATCCTCGAATAAGCGCACTTCGGAGATCGACAGGGCTTTGGGGCCCATTAATAATACTTTGAATATGAGAAGGAACCCCTAAAATAGAGTTGGTGATTTATTTAAGCCCCCATGGTTCAAGTTAGCCCAGGGCCCCTGGATTGCGCAATATACCCTAAACTAATACCGAGCCCTATACACTCCGGTATATTCCTCAACCAGGTGCCTACTTGGAGGATCATGGGACTTAGCAAGTAAGGTTATAAGTACCTTAATTGGGGTTATAGCTATAGTTGCCCTAGTTATAACCCTAGTTACTAAGTCCAATGATCCTTTAAGTAAGGGGTACGAGGCTCTCTGGAAATGATCTTGGTCTTACCGGTTGAGTGTTAGGCTTGGGCTTAGCATTGGACATTACTGTTCCCTGCTGTTTCACCGGGTTTATCATCACACAAGAGTTCCAGGTCCGAAATGACCATAAACTCTCAACCATGAACCCTAACGGGGCGGTCAAGACAACGAGGGTTCCCCTTTAAAGTCTGGGTTTTTTGACAAAAACAAAGACTTCTTGAGGAAGTGAGTGTTGTTATGGCTTTGTTGGGGCCCCCTATTCTCCAGAGCTCCCGTAGCTAACTAAGACCGGCCGGATGCCTCGAACGCCTCAGGCGCCTACGGCACTCTACGAAAGCTGCTTTACTACAAGCTTACTTCTGAAATTGGGACCATTTCTGCTACTCTCAACGCTATTAGATTCACTATCGTCGCTCTTGTTGCCGTCATTTATCAAACCGCAACTCCTCTAGAATGTCAATGAAGTTGCGAAGGAGTGAATGCGGTCCTGGAATGGCTGCTTTCCGCGAAGCTCAAATGCCGCAAGCGCTATCAGGTCCACCCTGGGGAATGCAGGGCACGAGTCTGACTTCTGAACAGCACTCCGAAATTCGATTATTCCTGAGTCGAAGCTGAAGATTCGTCACGGGCACTGAACTTCCCGATTCCCGGATTTGTGTCTTAGATGTCTTTCTCATTGACCGTCTGGCGCCATCCAAGACAAGGAAACCCCAAACCCCAGACCCACTAAGAGCCAGACATCTCCTCCTCGTCCACGTGCATAAACCTGCAAGAGCTTCAAAGCTGGTTCTGGAGATGTCTTGCTGCGGGACGTTTTTCCGGGGCGCGAGGCGGCATGTGTGTGTGTGTATATATATACATATGTACACCATACACATATTGTGACATTGAGCCTCGATCATCGTTGAGTTCCCAACAGCAGAAGACGCGTGTAACAAAGCATGGGTTCACAAATACATACATACATACATACATACATACATACATGCACACATACGTACGCTCATACATGCATACATGCGTGTATGCATACGTACATCCATCGATACATATCTACATATACATGTACACATATGCACATGCTGACGCAGGTTTATACCCATGCAATCTCATGTGCATCTACGTAGGTATACACAAACACACACACCTAGCCTCGTGTAGACATGCAGCCGCATCCACGTGAAAAGCTGCTCATGTCTGCCAATTGCGGTGATATGCTCAACGTCTAGAACTGCAAGACTTACCTTTGGTTAGTAGGGAATGTAGGAATGGGGTACAATTTTAACTACTATTACTTCCATTCTTCCATTCCCTACTAACCAAAGGCAAGAAGAGGCTGCAGAGAAGCATAGGCCATCCTCCGACAGAACCCTCTGAGCTTAGCCCACGGCTTCGCCAGTCCATACCTTGCGATCAGCATGGCCTTCTTCTGTCCGAAGAGGAGCCTTGGTTTCGTAGGGTCCACAATATGATGTGAATATTATGACCTTCGTACTAGTAACATAGTCATGTGTATTGTTCTGTGAAGTACTTGTTGTTCTTTTTGCTCGTATATACCGCTACTATTTGCTTTGTAATAGTTGTAATAACAAGGAGAACACAAACCCTCAATTGACACACGCGCGCGCACGCGCACACACACACACACACACACAAACACACACACACACACACACAAACACAAAAACACAGACACACACACACACACAAAAACACAGACACACACACACACACACACACACACAAACACACAAACACACAAACACGCACAAACACGCACAAACACACACACACAAACACACACAAACAAACACACAAACACACAAACACACACACACAAACACACACAAACACACACAAACACACACAAACACACACAAACACACAAACACACAACACACAAACACACAAACACACAAACACACACACACACAGACACGGAATCTTGCTAACAAGCACGATCGCTATGATAAAGATTCGAAGAGAATCGGCATGTCGAGGAAACTTGAAAAGTGCTTGACTCCCCGAACCGACGATCTTCAGAAGTGCCGGACTACCCATACTATTCTCGTGTTCGTGTCAGATGCGGTCTGGAGCGTTCCAAGCAGGCGGAGTCAGTTTCACAGAAAAGGAGGGAACGGACAGCCGACGCAATCTAAGCGTGCGAGCAGCTAAACGAGAGAAGAGAGAATGGGGATTGAGCCTGCATCGTTGCAAGGCCCAGGCGATATTGAGTTGGGCACCAGTCACTACGCAACAAACCCTAAACACAACAGCAGCAAAGCTAGGGCTCCAGGAGGTTTAGCAGTCGGTTGCTGGCTTGCGTAGAGACATTTCGATATTTGCAACGATTCCACGTTCTCCCAGAGCTCCCATTCTTGATGCTTCTAACGCAGATCAGAGAGGTCTCAAAGGTCCCCACTGCATCTGGTGCAAGGCCTTCTGCTCCTGTCAGGGCAGCGGAGCATCCCTTGAGCAGCCTCGAACTCCGAGTCCTAAATCTCGAGATCAGACAAAGCCGGAAAAAATTAGCAAAACATGTCTCAGGTACAGAGAGAATGGTATTATCAAGATGTTGAACGGCGTCATCATCACGATTACCATGATATCGAAGTCAAGTATATCACTTCACCAACTGTCAACCGCAGATTACTCTGCGTGATCCATCATTATCTTGCTCCTCCAACGTGGCGGCCGCATGAAACCGCAAAGCCTCATGACCTTTCAGTCCTTTCACACTCAAAACTATACGGGGGTTTCCGAAAATAGGGGACCCTACTATACCACCCTAAATGGTAGGATCCTTATTATAAAGACCCCAAATTATGGTACCCTAATTTTCGGAAACTCCCATATGGGTGGTTGTCAAAATTCGGGTCCCTGTTTGGGTCCTTATTTTAATACGGCACCTATTATTCAGACCAAAAGGGACCCTAATTTTGAAAAACTACCCATATGGTACGTCAAACCTCCACGGTGTCTAATGACGACCGCTCCTGGCTGCCGTCAGGTTCCAAGCCGAAGCACTCCGACATTTCCTGTCGGCTTTAGGATGTAGGGTTTCCAAGTTCGGGATCTAAGCTTGCGTGACTTTGGGTTAGGGGCTTAAGATTTGACTTGGGGTTTAGGGTCCGGGATATCGGATTATAGGCTCCTTCCGACCTCTTCGACCCACCTCCAAGCTACAGCTTACGGTTTTCGGCTGAATAAGGGCTGATACAAGTAAGGTTCATACAAGCCATGAAACTCAAGGCATCGATGCACCTTGCGCGTGGTCACTTCTGCTTCCATCATGTCCTCAAGAGTGGCTGCCATTGAAAGTTTCAGGCTTGGGGCTATGGTTCAGGAATGAAGCCCATTCCAAAGGGAATCACTGCTCGCATCTGTATCATGTTGCTTACACCCGCCAACACACAGGATGAAGAAGCTCTGCTGCGTGCCTGGCTCTCGGGAAGTTGCAGGATTGAAATTCCAGTCTAACTCTTGGACGGTTCCACCAACCATGTCGTGCGGCGAGAGAGAGAGAGAGAGAGAGAGAGAGAGAGAGAGAGAGAGAGAGAGAGAGAGAGAGAGCGAGAGAGAGAGCTCACATGGCTCACCGTGTCCTGGCACACGTCAAGTTGGAGCAGCCTGTACTTGGCCTGCCACATGAAGCAGCTTATGGGAGTTTGGACAGAAGCACAGTTATCAGGCGCGACAGAATGCGAAAGAGGCATTGGGCACTTTGTGCTATGTTGTCGTAGCAGCTCTAACTCTATGTCATGCTCTTGCGGCGATTCCCCAATTCTTTTAACACGGTGCTCTTCTCAAAGCTCTGGACAGCTCCATCACATAGCTGCGACACTTGTTTGCACTATGTCACCATGGTTACTTAGAGGTTCATGGGTAGTTATAAGTGGGGCTATAAGTAGGGTAACCGTAATTATGACACATATTAGGGGACTTATAACCCCACTTATAATTACCCATGAACCTCCAAGTAGTTGTCTTCTTTCCGGTCAGCACTGACTCTCGCCTGAACGACTTGAACTCACGAACCGAACAGCATTTATGTAGACCCAGAAGCCCGGACCTGAAACTGGAGCTCCGTAGAGCCTTCAGAGCCTTAGAGCCTATGCCTATACCTCAGAGCCTTGAAGCCTCTTCCTATCCTCGGTGCTGTGAGTCGTCCGTGGGACAGTAGGACCGGCATGGTTTTCGGAATCCTGCGATCGGTACCAGCACTCGGACCATGCCGTCTGCATCACTGGCAGCATTGGGAATCGCTCTACCTGAAGTCTTACCTGAAAAAGCTGAAGTGTCATATCAATAATTACGACAATGAAGAGTACCAGTAACAACCAAGATGCTCATAATCGTCCTAAACCGTGAATACCCCAGAACACCCTGAATTCCTGAAACCTGTATCCTGAAAACCTGACAGCCCCTCGTAGAGCCCTTACCATTCTATAGTAAATCCAACTCCAAAACCCTTTTAAGCTGACCGTATTCATTATCGCATACGGTAATCTACCCATAATCTAGTTTGCTAGGCCCAACATGAGCCACCGTTATTGAAAAGACCTCGCACACATCCCTGATAGCAACCCTTCAAAGAACCCGTATGACCTACGTAGCGATATTATCATAGATCCCCTTGTTCAGACCGCTGAAAGAACTGTTAATTACAATGATCTGCCTAACTATAGTATACTACACTCCGTGAAAAGACTCATTGC